CCCACGGGGGGCCCCACCTGAGGTCCCAGTGGCGGTGTCGTCATGCGTATCTCCCACCCAGCACGGCGTCTCGTGGCCCCATGCGAAGTTCCACATAAGGTCGAGTGGCGGTGTCCACATGCGTCTGCCCCACCCAGCACGGCGCTTCGTGGCCCCATGGGGATCTCCACTTGAGGTCCCAGTGGTGGTGTCCACATGCGACTTCCCCTAGTCAGTGCAGCGCTTCGTGGCCCCACAGGGAGCTCCACCTAACCGCCCAGTGGCGGTGTCCACATGCGCCTCCCCAGCCCTACGCAACGCTTCGTGGCCCCATAGGGAGCTCCACAGAAGGCCACCGTGGCGGTGTCCACATGTGCCCCCCAAACCCAGCGCAGCGCTGCGTGGCCCCATGGGGAGCTCCACCTAAAGCCGTAGTAGCGGTGTCAACACGCGCACCCCCCCCGCACTCCACCCAGCACAGCGTTACCGAACGCAGTGGCGTTGTCCGCACGGCGCTTCGTGGCCCCATATGGAGCCCCAGTGGAGGCCCCAGCGGCGGTGCCCGCATGCGCCCCCCCACCGCCCAGCACACGTCTCGCTGCCCCTTACGGAGCTCCATCGAAAGTCCAAGTGGCCGCGGCCGCAGGCGTCTCAGCCACCCATTACGGCACATCCTTGCCGCGATTCGTGGCCCTTAGAGAGCTGCATTGACAGCCCCAGTGGCGCAGTCCGCATGCGTCCCCCCCACCCATTACGGCGCACCACTCACACGTTTCGTGGCCCCAGAAAAGAAGTCCACCGAAGACCCCAGTGGTGCAGTCCGCATGCGCTTCTGCTTGCCATGTCGGCACACTTTTCAAATGTTTCGTGGCCGTACAAGGGGCCCCACCGAACACCCCAATGGCAACGTTCGCGTGCGTCCCCGCCGCCCAGTTGGCACACCCCTCACGAGTTTCGTCACCCCATAGGGAGCTTCACCGACGGCCCCAGCAGCGGTCCCCTCACGCGCCCCCGCAACCCATTTCGGCACACGCCTCACAAGTTTCGTTGCTCCATAGGGAGCTCCACCGAAGGCCCCAGTGGCGGTGCCCACATGCGTCCCCGCCACACATTTCGGCACACCCCTCACACGTTCAGAGGCTGTTCGCGCTTCGGGGCCCTATAAGAGAGCTCCACCGAAGGTGTTGCCCACACGCGTCCCCGCCACCCATTCTGGCACCCCACTCACACGTTTCTGGTCCTATAGGGTGCTCCACCAAAGGACCCCACTGGCGGTGCCCACATGTGTCCCCGCCACACATGGCAGCACCCCACTCACACGCCTCGTGGCCCCATAGGGAGTTCCACTGGAGGCCCCAGTTGCGGTGCCCACATGCGTCCCCACCTCCCGTGTCGGCACACCCCTCGCACATTCCATAGCCACATCGGGAGCTACAAAAAAGGCCGCAGTGGTGGTGCCCACATTCGCCCCCACCATCCATTTTGGTTCACTCCTCGCACTTTTTGTGGCCCCGTAGGGAACTCCACCGAAGGCCCCACTGGCTCGCCCACGCCACCCATGTCGGCAAACCCCATCACACGCTTCTTGGCCCCATCGGTAGCTCTACCGAACGCCGTAGCGCAGGTGCTTACAAGCGTCCCCGCCACCCATGTCGGCACCCCCCTCACACGTTCCGTGGCCCCATAGGGAGCTCCACCGAAGGCCCTATTTGCGGTGCCCACAAGCGTCCCCGTTACCCATGTCGGCACACCCCTCACGCGCTTCGTGGTTCCTTGGGGGGCCCCACCGAAGACCCCAGTGGCTGTGCCCACATGCTTCCCCGCCACCCATTTCGGCACACCCCTCACACGCTTCGCGGCCCCATAGGGAGCTCCACCGAAGGCCCCAGTGGCGGTGCCCATGTACCCCGACGCCCATGTTGGCACACCCCTCACACGCTCCGTGGCCCCATAGGGAGCTCCACCGACCGATGGCCCCAATGGCGGTGCCCAAATGCGTCCCCGCCACTCATTTTGGCACACCCATCACATGTTTTGTGGCCCCCCTAGGAATCTCCACCGACGGCTCAAGCAGCGGTGCCCGCATGCGTCCCCGCAACCCATTTAGGCATTCCCCTCGCACGTTTCGCGCCCCATAGGAACTTCGACCAAAGGCCCCAATGGCGGTGCCCAGATTCGTCCCCACCTCCCATTTCGGCACCCCATCACACGTCTCTTGGCCCCATAGGGAGCTCCACGGAAAGCCCCACTGGCGCAGTCCACAAGCGTCCCCGCCACCCATGTCGGCTCCGCCAACAATTTCGTGGCGGTGCCCACATGCGTCCCCGTCACCCATGTTGGCACACCCCTCACACGTTGAATTGTGAGTATCGTCTTCGGTGGAGCCCCCTTATCGGGACACCAAGCGCGTGAGGGGTGTGCCGAAATGGGTGGCGGGGCCGCATGTGGCCACCGCCACTAGGGCCATAGGTGGAGCTCCTTCTGGGGCCACGAGACGTGTGAGGGGTGTGCCGACATGGGTGGCGGGGACGGTTGTGGACTGCGCCTGTGGGGTTATCCGTGGAGCTCCCTATGGGGCCAAGAAGCGTGTGAGGGGGGTGCCGAATTGGTTGGCGGAGACACATGTGGGCACCGCCATTTGTGCCTTTGGTCGAGGTTCCTATGGGGGCCACGAAACGTGTGAGGGGGTTGCCTGAATGGGTGGCGGGGACGCATGTGGGCACCGCCACTGGGGCATTCGATGGAGCAACCTACGGGGCCAGGAAGCGTGTGAAGGGCGTGCCGAAATGGGTGGCGGGGACGCATGCGGGCACCGCAACAGGGGCCGTCGGTGGAGCTGCCCATGGGGCCCCGAAGCGTGTGAGGGGTTTGCCGCAATTGGTTGCGGGGGCGCATGCGGGCACCGCAACAGGGGCCGTCGGTGGAGCTGCCCATGGGGCCCCGAAGCGTGTGAGGGGTGTGCCGCAAGTGGTTGCGCGGACGCATGTGGGCACCGCCACTGGGGCTTGCCGTGGAGCTCCCTGTGGGGCCACGCGTCCTCCCCGCCACCGCGCGCGGCGGGGTTGCCCGCGGGGAGCCGGGGGACCCAACTCAACGCTTGTGTAAATCCGGCGTCGCCGGTCTCCGCTTGGCCTTCGCGGGGCCATTGCGGCCCGGTGCGTCCAAGGTAGTTCCTCTGTTGGCGCGCGAAGTCTCAACGTGCCTCCGCGTCTGTTCGGCCCTGGTCAGACCCCTCGAGCAAGGGTCTCAGGCAGTTGCAGGGCCCAGCCTCTCGCTCGATCAGCGCAGGGGAACATGCAAATTCCAGCCGGAGAGACCGTGGCACTCAGCGGCCAGGCGAAAGAGGCGCGGCGTTACTCACAACTGCAAATCGTTGGGTCATTCGCCAGGCGAATTTTATGACGTCGACCCCCAGAGGTCTCGACCCATTCCCCAGGACTGGAGTCTCATCCTGAGTCGTTCCTTGACGGCCCCGAATCCCGGCGAGGGCCCCTGGAGTCCGAAAATATAGACAAACCTTCCGTCGTGATTCTTCAATGACTCGAGGGAGCCTGCGGCGTCGTCGGTGGCCGTCAGGGGCGGGGGTGCCCCGGGGGGGCCCAGTCCCGTGCCGCCACGGGTTTCCACGGTGGCGCCGGCGAAGAATTGCGAACGTGGACTGGTCGGTACGATGGAAAGTGGTACAGTCAAGACACTGAAATCAGGAACAGCTTGGGTACGAAAGGAGCTCGATGTTCCTTAGGTCATTATGTGGTTGCTCCTCATCGTGCACGCTGGCGCTTCAGGGGCCAAATGGGGGCTTCGTTCCTTATCTACCGTTCCTCATGTCAGCGACCTGACTTTACGTACGGAAAGAATAGGTACGAAGACCGACAGCAGTTCTTGCCCATTTTGAATCCTTTTCGCTATCGGTATCGCCGCGGACGTTGTCCATGTGAGACAAGAGGTCGCCTGCCTAACAGCGGCCGCTTTCGTATTCGGACATCAGTTGCTGTGGGGCATCGGTCCCATGTTGTCCGTGCCCAGTTGGGGAGTGCCAAATTCGCGATGGATGCCGCTGAAAGGTTATACCATTTCATCCGAAGCCGTTTCATCCGAACGAGCTCATCCGAGACGAGTTTGTCCAGACGGGTTTGTCTGGTTCATTTCTGCTGGGCGAGTTCACCCGAAGACGAGTTCATTCAGAGACGAGATTATCCGCAGACCAGTTATTCCAGACGATTTCGTACAGACGAGTTCATCCAGACGAGTTCGTCCTGCGGAAGAGTGTGTTTCCGGATGTGTTCGTTGCCGACGAAATCGTTCGGGACGAATTGGTCGCCCGCGAGATTTTCCGTGTAACATCGGCGCTGGTTGTCGCCAAATCTGGCGGCATTGGCTTCGTGTTTCGGGGGGGGCGCCTCCGCCCCCCCGCGCACACGCCGCGAGATCCGCGGGCCCGTAGTCCATGCCTGCGTGCGTCCGAGGCATGGGTTGCTGAAGGAAACGCAGAGCTAGCAAGTTTACAGTCGACGTCCGCGGCGGGTTTTTTCACTGGGAAGCTAACATGATGCATGCGGGGGGGGCCCTCGCGCGTGTCAGGCCCTGCGGGGAACATGGCATGCATACGGCGGCCGTCAACGAGCAGATGCCGTGTAGCTCTCCATGGGAAGGATGCGTTCCAGCGCTTCCTGATAGAATCTGGGCCTCGAGGGCGCAGCTTCTCGTTCTGTCCGCCTCCTGTAGTGAGCCCTCTTGGGCCCAACATGAGCGAGCCGAGCCCGGGCGGCTGGTCTTCCCACGGGGGAGGCATTCGATCTTTGCCCGCGTCGGTTTCCACACTCCCTTACGTGGTCCCCGTGCGCGCCCCCCTGCGCAGTCAGACCGCGTCAGATTGTCAACGAACGCGACGTGTGGCCACGGCCGGCTCAGATATCCCACGAGCCTAAAACACCACAAAGGAGCGAGCCATGCCGCATAAGAGGACTTCGTAGCGCGTTCTTGGCCAGATCGTTTTCTCATGAGTCAGTTTGGATTGACAGGTGAACGAGCCAGGCTCGCCGCCGATGTTGACCGACGAGAGCCGCGGCGACAAGGGCAAGGGCAAGGGAAAGGGAAAGGGAAAAGGCGGATTCGACATGCATCAGGGCGGCTTTGACAAGGGCAAAGGCAAGGGTGACTCCTGCAGAGACTTTCAGAGGGGCGCGTGCACCTACGGGGACCGCTGCCGCTTCGCCCATCGGTGGCGCCAGGGATGAAAACGACATCTGAAGGGTCTGAGCCCTGGTGCAGGGCGCCAGGGCGGGAAGTCTTCTTTTCCCCCCCTCCTGCGGGCGCCTGATATCGTTGGGTGTGTTCGGGGTGCCGTGATGTTGGGGGTGTTCTGGTGACGTGGTGCTGTAGTGCCGTGGTGCCGTGGTGTCTCGACGACTCGGTGTCGTAGCGGCGCGGTGCAGGGATGTTTCAGTGTTGAGGTGCCGCGGTGTCGTGTTGTGTCGTGGTGTGTCGTTGTGCGCCGGTATGTGTGTGTGTGTTTCGTGGCGTGTCGCGGTTCCGTCGTGTCGCGGTGGCGCGGTGTCGCGATGCAGCGGTGTGCGCTGCCGTGGTGGTGCGGTGCCTCTGTGTCGCGGTGTTGTGGTGACGTGTTGTTGCGGTGTCAGACTGGGGTGGTATCGTTGTGAGTCGTGGGGGTGCCAAACCGAAGATTGGCATTAACGACGAGAATATTGCCATCCAATGGCCTTCGGCTGGTCCCGTCACCGCGCCTGGGTCGTGGACAAGATGCTTCTTCGATGCTTCTTGGGGTCTCTCGGAGGCCTCGGGAACCCTCCTGGGGCTCATCAGGGGGCTCCTTACGGCAGCTTCGGACGCACTGGAAGCCCATATCCATTTGGGCCAGGTTGCAGGGCCTCCCAGACGAGTCAATCGGCTTCAAAGAGGGCTCCAGTACGGCCCTATGGGGGCATCTCAGGGCATGCTGGATTTGAGCTCCCAACCAAGGTCCGGAAGGCTTGGGAAATGGCACCTGCCGAAGAAAGCCAAATGTTTTTGGCGAAGGACACAACCATATGCAAGTGTGAGTGCCGTAACGCAGGTGGGACGAAGGTGGGGTCAGGAAACGTGTGAGGGTTGGTGCCGAAATGGGCGGGGTATCGCCATGCGAGCGCTGCCACTGGGGCCTTCGGAGGGGGCTCTTCCCCTTTCCGCCCTTCGATGGCATTTCTGCCGTGCCGCATGGTTTTACACTGTTTCACTGGGCCAGTGCCTGCTGCATGTCTGGCCTCTCCGTGCGTTTCGCGAACCATGGAGCCGTCCCGCTGGGCGGGCCTTGGGGCCGCCGCTCCGCTCCGCTCCCCGTGGGGTCGCGGAGCGTGTTAGGTACTTGTGTGTGTGCGTGTGTGCGTGTGTGTGTGCGTGTGTGTGTGTGTGTGTGTGGAAGTGGGCGTGTGTGTGTGTGTGTGTGTGTGTGTGTGGAAGTGGGCGGGGTGGCACCATGCGAGCGCTGCCGCTGGGGCCTTCGGCTGGGCCCCCGTTGGGGTCACGAGGCGTGTGAGGGGCGTGTTGGCATGGGCGGAGTGGCGCCATGCGGGCGGTGCCACTGGGGCTTTCGGCTGGGCTCCCTGAGACGTCATGGAACCTGTGAGGGGTGTGCGTCGGAATGTGCTGGTGGACGCCATGCGGGCGCTGCCGTTGAGGCCTTTGCTGGGGCTTCCAGTGCGGCCACAACACGTGTAAGGGGCATGCGTCACAAATCGTGTGAGGGGTGTGTCGAAGTGAGCGGGGTGACACCATGCGGGCGCTGCCACTGGGACCTTCGTCGTGGCTCCCGTTTTGGCCACGGAGCGTGTGGGAGGGGGTGCCGAAATGGGCGGGGTGACGCCATGCGGGCGCTGCCGCTGGGGCCTTCGGTGGTGCTCCCTATGGGGTCACGAACCCTGAAGGGGCGTACGTCGAAATGTGGCTGGGGTGACGCCATGTGGGCGCTGCCGCGGGGGCCGTCGATGGGGCTCCATGCGTGGTCAAGAAACGTGCGAGGGGTGGGCCGAAATGGGCTGGGGGACCGCATGCGATACCCCCCGCCGTGGGGCCTTTGGCGGTGCTCCATGTGGGCCCACGAAAAACATATGATGAACTAGGCTGGGGGACCGCGTTGGAGCTCGCTTTGGGGCCACGAGGCGTGGTCGAGTTATGCCGAAATGGGCTTGGGGGCTGCATGCGGTACCCCCCCGTGGGGCATCAGCCAGAGCTCCCTGTAGGCAACGAAACGTGTGAGGGGTATGCAGAAATGGGCATGGAGGGCAGAGGCACGGATGGGAGGAAGGGGGAGGGGGAAGAGGAGGGAACTGGAACGCGGTGCGCTGTCTTGTCACAGCGATGGCCCGACACCGCGGGACGGTTGGGAATCCGGTCGTCGCACGTCTGCTCGGATGCAACTCTTGGGAGCTCGGATTCTGACTTTGCCCTGGTCCGAAATCCGGCTTCATCCCGGGCAGCGCAATCGGCAGAATCATTGGCGCAGTCTTGATCAAAACCACCCAACACAGGCACCGTGTTGCGCTAAGACATTGCACGCTTCCAAAGCTGGCCCTCGCAAGAGGGTTGGGAAATCCAGCGAAACTGGGTCTCAATTTCTCGATCGAAGATTTCTCAGCAGAAGTTTTGAGTGCAATCTGGGCTAATCCCGCTGAGCCCGGCTTCACTCATCTCGCTCAATCCGCGGCCTAATCCGGCGTAACAGCCCCCCAGTGTGGCTGAATCTTCCGCAATGCTTCCGACGAAGACCTCCCAGCAGCTGCCTCCTAGCGTCTGGGCCTGCGTCTCTTCTCCGCCCTCACTCCTCCTCCCTCCCTCCCTCCCTCCTCCCCCTCCGCCCTCCCTCCCCCCTCCTCCCTCCCTCCCGCCCTCCCTCCTCCCCCTCCATCCTCCTCGCTCGCCCTCCCTCTCTGCCTCTCTCTGCCCTCGGGGCTGTTCTGGACGCTGGCCCTTCCCCAGCCTGCCCGCCCTTCCCCCCCCCTACCGGCGGGAGGATGTGCACGTCTCCGCGCGCGGCTATGGGCGGTGGCCATTCCAGGCACGCTGCATCCTTGCTCGTCCTAGCTCTGGTTGCGCGTGTCGTCACGCTGGGGTTGTTTTTGGGGGTGCATGTCCGCTATGACAGACACCCGCCGGTGGACAGAGAAGGATCAGCGCCATGCGAAGGGATAGGTGGGAGGGGTCGGATGCCAGACGTGGCGCGAGCGCATCAAGCTTGTCTCCTCCTGCCCCCTCCTTCCTCCTCCCCCTCCATCCTCCCCCCCTTTCTCTCTCTCTCTGCCCTCGGGGCTGCTCTGCACAATGGCCTTCGCCAGCGTCAGTGCCCGTGCCTGTCAGCCCACCCTTGCCTCCAACCGGGGAGAGGGTTGGCCCCTCGCGTCCTTCCTTGACCTGGCTGCGGCTTCGACACCAAACGAAGTGGTCTTTCAAACGCACTATCTCTCTCCCTCTCTCTCTCCCTCTGTCTCTCTCGCTCTCTCTCCTCGCCCTGCTTCCTACTGTCGGAGACCTGGAGGCTGGCACCATCACCAGTATCAGCGGTCGCCTCCACCGAGGGAAGGTGATCCGAATCTCGGTAATGCTGGTAGTATGTGGGTTTCCTACGTTGCTGAGGGAGCACAGCCAGCATCAAAATACAGACTCACCTTCCGCGAAGCGCCCGCCTTGGTTGGTGTTGGTGTTTGTGCTACCAGACCGCATGACAAGAAGCACCCTGTGTTTTGTCAGGGTGTCCCACGTTCCTTTGGTTTGCGTTCTGCGTGGCAGGTTGTAGCAATCTCGAAGAAATTGCAAATGGCAGGGCGCCCTGGTTTCTTGGTCGTCGGCGTGGTGGTTTCCTTGATGTCAAGGTGCTTTCCGCAGGCGGTAGATACCCTGTGTTTCTTGGTTGGCAGCCGGAGTGCAATAGACCCAACCTTGGACCAAGAGACATCGGCGGACTTCAGGGTTCGGTTTCTTGTGGAGGGTTTCTTGTGGACTAACTTTTACTGTATTGCCCACGCCCCCAGTTCTGCCTCTGCTTCTGCCCCTGCTACGGAGCGGGCATGCGTCAAGGAATGTGCCCAGGAGGCTTCGGATATTTGAGGACTCCTTACCTGGTGAACGCGGCGGTGATGTCCATGGCAGAGCTTCAATTGGTGTGCCACCAGCCTCCAGACCCTAGATTCCTTATCCAAGGGCTCATTATCTGATGCCATCGCCGTAACTTCCACTGTATCGACCAGCCCCCAAGTCCATCCTCTGCGTCGGTAGCAAAACATTGGAGCCTCATGTGTCCTCGTACGCCCGTCTCTGGAGGGCATTAGCGTGCGCTAGCGTACGATAACCGATAGGAAAGTGCCGATGCATCGTCGTCTAGCGTCGCTTAGCTTCGATTAGCGTCGATTTGGGATCGATGTAGCGTCGGTTGGCAAGAGCCAAGAAGACGGTCAGAGTGAGGGTGCCGAACAGTCATTCACTGTCCCTGGGTGCGTGGCTGAAGTGGGGTCCCGCGGTGCGGATTGTTGTTGCGTTGTTGCGTATCGTCGTCCCCCTTCGCGACCCAGCCCGCGACCCATCCGCGACTCGCTCGCGACCCACCCGCGACCCAACCCCGACCCACCCCCGACCGACTCCCTCTTATCCGCAACTGCGGGGTGCTACATCTGCCAGGAGGGGAAAAGAGACACAGACACAAAGAAACGTCGATCCCCACGGAAATATGGGAACACACGGAAAGTGGAGGATGAAGACGAACATCAAGAACATTCGAAACGAAATATGGAGAATCCTTGGATACGTATCTATTGGTTCGTGTGTCCCTGAACCCCTCTCAATTTGGCAGGCTCCCGATTTGCCACCGAAGCGTGCCGCCTCCCTCCGCCGCCGCGAGAGGTAGCGAGGCGCACCGCAGCGCGGGTCGTCGGGGCGCGGTCCCCGGACGGGCGCCAGCGTCTGAGCTGGCCAGGGCGGCTGCCGCGGAGGGGCCGCGCAGCGACGCTCGCATCCTCGCAGCGGAGCAGGACAAAGGGAGGGAGAGGGGAGGACGAAGAGGAAGAGAGATGAACAGGAGGAAGAAAGGAGGAGGAGGAGGAGGAGGAGGAGGAGGAGGAGGAGGAGGGAGGAGGAGGAGGAGGAGAGGAAGCCGGGAAGAGAAGCGGCAGAGGAAGAGGGAGCAGCTCGCGGAAAGAGGGGGCGGCTCGCAGGAGGAAGCAGAGGGGGGTGGAGGGGGAGAGAGAGCGGCCCGATGGCGAAGGATACCAGAAGTAGCCCTCACGCGCGTACTCCCCTGGCCTGCCGGGATCTGGTCTGCGACAGTCCCGTAGGCGGGATTGCCTGAGCAGCCCAGGCAGAAATACACTCTCGCAGGCGATTGCTTGGCATCGCTCGGACGTGTGCCATCTTTTCCCCGGCGAGGGCCATTGCGGAGCACCTAGGATCATCCTCGACAAGTGCGCACGCAATCGAACAAACACGCGGGAAATGGACGACCGAGCGATGGCAAGATTGCTCTCGCCCGAGTTCCGCCCGAGATGTTTGGCCGCTCAGGAGGAAGGGGAGACCCTGGGAGACACCCCACGGGAGGCTGCTTGGACGCACCCCCCGTCGAGGATGGACGCCCGCCCCCCCCAGTCGTATGTCTCAGGGTTTTGGGGGGCCCCAAGCGTGTGATCTGTTCGAGCACCCCGCGAAGCCTGGGATAGGGATCGACCTATTCCCCCTGGTACGCTCACCACTCACCACGGCAGGAGCACAGAAGAAAACGTGGCGGCCCTCCAGGGCGGCCTCCTCCGGAGGGAGGAGAAGCGATACCAACACCACCAGGGGGCCCAACTCCGGCGAGGAGGTCCACGATGCCTCCCCGAGCGAGAGACTGGGGATGTCTCGAGCGAGAGGGGGGGACCACACCACCAGGTAGACCCCCCACTGCCTCCGCGCATCTCCTCGCCCTGTTGGTGTTGGCGTCGCCTTTCCCTGTTCCTCTCCCTCACCCTTTCTCTTCGGGGGGACTCCCCCCGGGGCTGCCCCTCGCCACGGCCGGACCCGCCCCCCGGCAGAGGTCCCGGGGGGCCGAGACCTGACTTCAGCGGACTCGGGCCAGACGGAGACGAGCAGGTGGCGAGAGCAGGCCCGAGAGGAGTGCGGAGGGACGCGTCCGCTCATCGCCGAGGGCCCGATAGCCCACCCCGCCCGCCAAGGAACGCGCGGTTTCGCCATCGGGGGGCCCATCGCCGATCCATCGGCGATGTGTCGTCAACTCCAGGTCGTTGCTTACCCTCCCGAGCGCAGGCCCGAGAGGAGTGCGGGGAGGAAAAGGGACGGGGGAGAGGCGCGGTCGCTAGAAGCGGTGGGCCAGTTGCAGTTGCTCTTGTTCCGTTCCGTCTTCCGGTTCCGTCGCCGTTGTTGTTGCGGTTTCGGTTCCGATTCCAGCGGTGTTTTCTGTCCCAGTGAGCATGTTCTAGCGTTCTTCTTTTCCAGAGCAGGAAGCGTTGGAACTATGAGTTCCCAGGGCATTCAGGGATAGAAGGGGAGGGGCAAGCCAGGTGCGCTAGCGCCACATCAGGGACCCACAGAAGCTCTGGGGCACCTCAGGTCCCTCACAGATCTACGAAGTATGCTCCCCAAGATGTCCTAGAGAAGGGTGCCTTCTCGTATAGATGTACTATACCCTCCCACCCGTGTCCCACTGCGCTGGACCCTTCTCTATCCTGTGACCGTGGTGTCCTCGAGGGCCTTGACCCCCCAACTGGCAGCTTCATCGGTTGACTCATCGTTTGCTGTGTCATGGGGAATGGGAGCACATTGTACATTGAAGGAGGAGGAGGAGGAGGAGGAGAAGGTGAATGGAGGTGGATGGAGGTGGAAGATGAGGAGCAGGAGTGGCAGGAGTGTCTGGGGACAGCGGGGGAGGAGAACGCAGGGGGACAGCAGCGACGAGGAAAGAACCGGATTCAGAAGTGTGGCCTCGCGTTGTGTCAGAGCGCTATTCTGAACGACGTGAGTAAAGCACCGATCGTGGAGTGTAGGCAGTGCCGCAGCTGGAGCACTGCAGTACCGTCTTGGAATGACAGCACACGTGTATGTAAACATGTGGGGGATGCGGCGCCGACTCAATACGGTACCAGGGGAGAGAAGAGAGTAGTGAACACAGCCATGTTGCATTTAGATTGTCAGGAGCGGCAGAGTGACGGGGAGGCGAAAAGACAGGGGCGGGGATCTGGAAGAGTAGGAGGGAGCAGTAGTGGTGGGAGGAGGGAGAGGAGGCGGAGGAGGGTGAGGAGGCGCCGCGGAAGAACTGTATGAGACTTACACCCTTGGCGGCAGATGATTCCCCAGAACCGTCTCAGACTACCCCAAATGGCTCGCTGTTCAAGAGTGGAGGTGGCATCTATGCGGTGTAAGCTATGCAGGTAAAAGCTCTGCGGTGTAAGTTGTGTAGTGAACGCTATTCCGTGTAAGCAGTCCGTCTAAACCCACGAGGTGCCCACGAGGCGGCACGAGCGGCAACGCGGCTCAACCTCGAGGTATCTCTTAAGCGCATGGCGCCCACGAGGCGGCCGGGGCGGCAACGAGGCGCAACCTCAACAGACCCACCTAGCGTAAGGCTCCCACGAGGCGCCCACGAGGCGGCATTGGCCCGCAAGGTGGGGAAAACCGGACACACCCATCCGCGTCCGTAGGAAAGCGAAGTCAGACCCCCTTAAATGCAAGCACTGTTTGGGGAACAGCATAGAGAACTGAGAGTGAGCACGATCGGGAGTGAAGGGAGGGTACGACGCAGAGTCCAGTATTTCGGATGTTGGGCATGCAGAAGACTAGGCGGGAGATCCTGTGAGAGGGCATGCGGGAGAGAATGGGGAGGCCGTACGGGAGATCACATGCGAGGCCATGTGAATACCATACGGTGGAGGCGTTTGTTAAGGAATAGTCCCAGGAGGCGCCAGACCCTGGAGGATTCCTTATCAAATTAGGGCGGCGGTGATGTCCATGGCCGATCCACGATTGGAGTTCCACTGGCTCCCAGGTCCTGGATTCCTGATCGAAGGGTTCCTTATCCAATGCCCACACCGCGCGCAGGGCGGAGGCCAGGTCGGCAGCAGAGTCCTCTCAGCACACCCAGCTAGAGGAGCAACGCCCGTCACCTGCCCCCACGGCTGGACCAGAGCCATGGGTCGTGCACGGCCACAACATTATGCAGACCAACGTGGTGAGCAAGCCGAGCGAGGCCATCCTGGTGTGCACGCGCTGCTTCATGTACTGCCACCAACCGCGGTATGCGCACAGGGGCCTGGCCAAGCCGTGTGTCGGTGGCGATCACAGATCGAGCCAAGGGTCGCGTGCTCAGGCCAGGACGGACTTCGGCAGATTGCGATTGCCTGGCAAGGAGAAGCCGCCGATCGTGATGCTCAAGTCGCCGACGATGGAGGAGATGCAGCGCTGGCGAAGGTCGCTCAAGGTGGATGACCTCGACTGGCCCAACCCCCAGGTGGGCGAGCTCCTGGCGGCGGCGCGGGCGGGCGGCCCCGGTGGCTCGCCAAGGCCTGCGGCTGCACAGCCTGCGGCGGGGAGTGCTGCTGGCGCGGCGGGGCCTGCGGGCGGTGCGGCGGCGGCTTCGGCGAGCGCCTCGGCGGCCGTGGGCGCGGCGGCGGTGCAGCCCGCGGTGCGCGCGGGCTTGCAGGAGCTCCCCGTGCCCGACCTGGAGGGCGTCCTCCGCGCGCACGGCTTCGCGTCGGCGGGCGACGCACGCGCCCGTGGGCGAGAGGCAGCCCATGTGCGCGGGGAGCGTGACCGCGCGCTGGAGCGCGGCGAGGCGGCCCCGCGAGCGGCGAGGAGGCGGGGCCGACGCTGGTGAGCGCCCCCCTCGGCCGCCGTGGGGCCCTCGGCAGTCCCGCGCCGTTTGCGCGGGCCTGCGGCCCGGTGAGAATTTGTGGCATGACCACGCGGGGGCTCGCGCCCGCTCGAAGAGTAAAAAAAATAAATGCCCACACCGTGTGGGAGGCCACACGAAAGGCCATGCGGATGTCCATGCGGGGGGCCATACGGGAGAGCACGCGGGAGACCAAACGTGAGACCACCTGGCCTCCTCCCCCGCCCCCTCCTGAAAGTATGGGCAGCGACAGTGTGGCCCAGAGCGCTGCGCCGCGCCGCCAGGTCGCCGCCTCGGCCAAGGACTCGCAGGGCCCCCTTCGCGGGACCTGTGAGCCGCGGCGCGCCTTGCCCCTTCGGAGCGGGCCCGCGCCACGGCAGCGGGGCGACTGGAGAGGCTTCCTCGCCCCTCACTGCGCCCCTGCTTCTGAGGATCTCGGCGGAGGAAGAGGTACCGTCGGCCCGGATTAGTAGGTCGACCTTGCCGAATCAAGGGTACTCTTGTGTCCTGTGTCTCGCGACCCATGCCTCTTACATTCCTGTGGCAATGTGGCCCTCGGAAGGGTCTTGTGCCCTCTCGCGTGCCTTGTCCAACCAAGTCCGACTGTAGACCGTTGGAGGCCTGGGGATTGGCACCAACGCCAAGATAGTGGGGTGTCTCCACCCAGGGACGTTGCCGCCTCCTTGCCGCCTCGTGCGCTGGGTGAGTCTAGCGAGGTTTCGCCACGTTCGCCCGAGGTTTCACCACGTTGCCGTCCGATGATGCTAGACGTGTTGGCGTTGGTGGTGCGATTTCGCCCGCTTGCGAAGCTGAATGCTACCACCATCGCCGAGATCGGGAACATCTTCCCTCGGTGGAGGCAGACGCCGATATAGGTGTGGGCGTTTTTCAAGGTTTCCCAGCTCTCCCGCGCCCCCGCGTGGCCGTAGGCATGCTTCCTCTTGAACATCTGGTCTGCGGGCCTTCTTGGGTCCATTTGGGACCCAGCTTCTCTGGTGTGCTCAGGGTAGCTCTGGTTCCCGGCGGGACCGCCTCTCTCCTCGGAGAGCTTTTCGCGCTTGTCGCAGGAGCCGCGCCGCGTCCCGTACATTGGGTCCCTTGTCTTGTGCCCCTGAAAGTGACTGCGTGCCCCTTAAAGTGCGTCCCTCAATTTCTGTCCCTCTGGCGGTGTCGCACCATGGGCGTGTAAAACGTGTGTCCCTCAAATTGTGCCTTTTAAGTGTTGCGTTTGTTTTGAACAAGGAAATCGTGGACACAATTTCGTGGTCACGGCGAACACGCGCGTCGAACAGTTAGTGACTACAGTGCCAAATTTTAGTGGTCACGGTGCCAGATTTGGGTGGTCAGCTCCGCCGCGGGCTTCGAACGACTCCAGCCGAATGTTGCCCGCGCGACCTTGCTGTGGCTCTCGACGCACAGGCCGTCCAAGACGTCCTGTAGACGGCCGCCTTGCACTTGGTCTACCAATTGGGTTCATTCCGAGTGGATGTCACGAAGGTTGACCACGCAATCGGCAATGCACGTTCATTGAGCTGCCGAGGGGACGCTTCAAAATCCGAAAATTCCACCGGCAATTACCGGCCCCCTGTGTTCGACGCCCTCAGCGCCCGAAGTGGCATGTTCCTGCTCCTCTGTCTTCTTCGCACGCGTAACGTTCAGCGTGCCTCCGTAGCTTGTTGGTCGACATCGCGCTTGCAGTCCTAGAGCCCGTTACCGCGTCCGTAGTAGTCGCAGTCGTAGTCGTAGTCGGAGGAGTAATAGCAGTAACAGTCGTAACCTAGTCGAAACATGGCGGTTGCATATGCAGGAATCAATCATCGCGTGATCGTCCTCTTTACCCATCTCGTCCGCATCCTCCAGTAATGTCCGCTTCCAGTTCCTCCTCGCCCCCGGGGTAAAAGGCTCGGGGGAGGCTTTGGCTCGTCTTGCGGCCCCCCTTGGGGATGGGTCACATTCAGACGCGTTTGATGTTGCTTGGTTTTGGATCACCCTGGCTTTATGGCCCGTCCCCAACAGCAACCTCCTCGCCCCCTGCTCATCAATGGTGCTCTACGTAACCGCATGCGTTGCGTAGATGGGGGTGGCGGCGGGCCCGTGCCAGCCACAGGAGTGGGCATGGCGCGAGCCAGGCACCGAGCACTTGAGGACGAGGGCGTTGCCCTCGCCAGCCTCTCCCTCACCCGTGGCTCAGGAGACTCGCCGTCCCCTTGGTGAGGTCCCTCCTCCTCCCCATCCTGCGTCTCGCGCTCGGGCGCGTTTGCCCGCATGCTCGCGCTTCTCGCCCCTCTCCCGAGCCTGTTTCGCTGTCTGTGCCACCCCCTCTCTTCTCGGACCTGCCTCTTCGGAGGCAGACCAGTCCAGCATCCGGCATCCAGCATCCCCCCCCCTCCCCCCATCCGAGCCCTCGCCCCCCCCCCCCTTCCCGCGCAGCCAGCGCGACGGGGGCGTCCGGTTGCAGAGCGGGCGCCCGCAGCACCGCCCCAGCGCGGCGCCCGCGCCATGGCCGTCGTCCCCGCAGCCCTGGGCGCCAAGGCCGCGGGGCCGCCCTCCGCGCCGCCGCCGCGGGCTGCGCTTCGGACGCCGCTCTCGGGCGCCGCTCGTCGGCGGCCAGGCCGGCGCTCGGCGCCCCGAGCCTCACGGCCGCCGCTTGGGATCGGTACGGCCAAAACGGGTACGGGGAGGATGGGGACAAAGGTCGGCAGTAGCTTGGCATCGCTCGGACGTGTGCATTTTTCCTTCGGCGAGGACCATCGAGGAGCATCCTTGGTCATTTGGCGAAAAAACCACGCACGAAACCGAAAAAAGCACAGGGAATGGACGTCCGAGCGTTGGCAAGGTAGTCCTCGCCCACTTTGACCAGGACTCGCTTCAGGGGCCACGAGAGGTGGGGATAGGCATGAGGGGGGAGATGCGTCGACCCCCAATCGCCCATTGATCGCCGATAGTGGCCCGATAGCCCCCACGTGCCCAGGGACGTGCGGATTCACTATCGGGGGCCTGTCGCCGATCTATCGGCGATGCATCGCCGATTCCAGGTCGATGTTTCCCCCCCTATGTCGATCCCCCCGTACTGTTGCCCTTCATCGCCGTCGGCGTCGCCGTGGGCGCTGCCCACCCGAGGCAGAAGACCGCGTGCCCAACAGCGGCCATTGCCGGCTTTGGACGACACATGCTGCTGTATCGGGGGAAGCAGGAGCGCCGCCACCGCCACCAGGGGGGCCACCTCCTGCGAGGAGATGCACCCTGCGAGAGGGGGCGGCTACACCACCAGGGAGACCTCCCTGGCTCCTCTCGCTGGTTATCTCTGGTGGTGGAGGTGGCGTCGCTTCTCCTTGTTCCTGGGACTCGCGCCCCCATGGCCCCGGGGGCCCTCACCCGAAGGCCTGTTGAAATTCGAGGTTCGAATTTCGAAGTTTTCTGGCGTTTTCATAGGCCCTCAGAGGTTTTCCAGCCTCGGGCTGCTCTTTCGGGAGGCTGCGCCTCGTCGAGAGTCTCTCAGATAGGACGTGCCTGGGTCGCGCCGAACGGCCGCCCTCCGCGCCACCGCTCCGCGCCGTGCCTTGGGCAGCACTCGTGCCCCCACGGCCGTGGAGGCTCCCACCTCCTCCTCCTCCTCCTCCTCCTCCTCCTCCTCCTCCTCCGTAGCCATTTTGGCTCAAGTCAATGGCTAGGGTCTCGGCCGCGCGCGTGGCTGGAATCGCTCAGATGCTCCCATGGCGCTGAGAAGCTTCCGCCTTCTCTCACCTGCCGCGATTGTGGTTGTGCTCGCGGAGCTCCTGATGGTGGCAACGGCTGCTGATCGTGGCCGATGGTGTGACATCGAAGTTGAGTGGGCGGCATCGGCGACTTGTGTGCGCAGTACACATCGCCGCAGTGCTGAGGCGAAGCGACGCCGTCTCATCAACAGGATCAAGGTGCTGTCCACCGGTGATGCCTCGGACAAGAAGCACGCGTTAGCTCGTTCTCTTGCATCACGGTGCTCAACACACCCCGTTGCCGCTCCTCCCTCGGCTTCCCGCTCGGAGGCGGACAAGAATGTGGAGAAAGACAAAGTTCGAGCAGAAGCCAACGACAAAGGCAAAGATAAAGAACACGACAACGTGAACGACAAAGATAAAGACAAGGAACAAAGCGAAGACACGATCAGAGCACCTGATGATGCCGCTGGAGATGACCTACGACTTCGGGTACAAGCCTTCGAACTCGCACTTTCCCTGCAGATCGACTTCAGCAAGGCGATGGGCTTCGAGCTCCACTCCTGCAGCGGACCCTACCGAGTGTGCAGATTCATGGACGACGAGGGCTCCGCTGGCGCGGCCGAGGCCGCTCTGGCCGCCCGTCGCATCTCAAGAAGGGCGCTTCGTTCACGACACCGACCTCTGATGGCACTCTCCGAGGAGACCTCATCAGACAAGGACCGCGCACTGGTTTACGATTTTCTGGATTATGTCAGGAAGGACCTGCCTCGGGTGGGGAAGATCTTCTCCGCCAGCCGTCCTTCCCCCAAGAAGTCTGCCGCGATGGTGGCTGCGGACTGCGAGGCCGTTCTCCAAGACCTCGGTGATGATCGTGTTGATGGTGGTCTCTCTGCTCCCTGGGGGCAGGCTCCTGCCGCGTTGGTGGCTGGTTGTTGTGCAAGCTCGGCGATTTCAACCTCTCCGGCACTCGGTCCTCCCCTCGGCGCCGGAGTTCATGGGACAGCCGCGGACGTGGCTGGAGTCTTTACCGTGGATGACATGCAGAATCGCAAACAGGTTGTATTGCTAGAGAGAATAGTGCCCGTGCCGCGGGCCCCTGGCATGTGGCAAGAAGCTGACGGCTGTGATGGCGTAGACTGGCAAGAGAGCGTTGCGGATGCCTCGGATGCGTCCGTCCCGCCTGACCTCGAGCTCGACATGTTGAAGGACAGGATCGCTCAGATCGAGTTCGCTCACAACAAGACGAGCTCTACCGTCAAGCTCGTGTCGGAGACGTTCAAATCCACCTCCCAACTGCTCATGGATGCGCTCCAAAACACCGCTGGGACTATATCGGCGTCGGTCCAGGACTCCCAGCAAAAGCAGGCAGACTTCCACACCCGTGTGCTCCTGGAGAAGCTCAAGGCGGACCACCAGCTCTTCAAGGACAGGTTCGGGAAGATGCAGCAGCGGAGGAAGTCCGACACGCGAGCGGTAAGGCCCCATGAAGACACGGACAAGGAAGAGGACAAAGACCAAGTTCGGCCAGAAGCAAAGGTCAAAGACAAAGACACAGTTAACGACCAGGACAACGACACATATAAAGACAAAGAAAAAGGCGAAAGCGAAGCGGCGGCAAGCTGGGACAAGGCCACCCAGCAGGGAGCTCTCGGTTCCAACCGAGCTCCAAAGGCGGATCAAGATCTGGTTCAATATTCCGACAAAGAAAATGGCAAATATAAGCATAAAGATGAGGATACGAAAAAAAGATGAAGACAAGGAAAGGCCCCACAAAGACACGGACAAGGAAGAGGACAAAGACCAAGTTCGGCAAGATGCAAAGGTCAAAGACAAAGACACAGGTAACGACGAGGACAACGACAAAGATAAAGACAAAGACCCAGGCGCAGGCGAAGCGGCGGCAAGCTGGGACAAGGCCACCCAGCAAGAAGCCCTTGGTCCCAACCAAGCTCCAACAGCGGATCAAGATCTGTGTCAAGAAGCCGAAAAAGAAAAAGACAAATATAAACTTAAGGATGAAGATCCGACAGAAGACGAAGACAAGAACTACGACCCCCGCGCTGCGGACGACAAGGACAAAGATAAAGACAAAGACAAAGGAGAAGACGCAAATAAAGACAAAGGCAAATGCAGGGAAGGAGGCAGGGGCAAAGAGGAAGACGAAGACAAAGTCAAAGGCAAAAGTGAAGAAGCAGAAGAAGAAGAAAAAGGAAGCGATGAAGAAACAGAACAAGAAACAGACGCAGTACCAAGCGAAGAAGATGATGTCCCTTGTTTCTTGCAAGGCAGGGTGTCGCATGTTCGGATTCAGGGGTTTTGTCGGACGGACTGATCTGAACGGCATCCCAGGGACCAACACGGGCTTCGACACGAAGGCTGGGCGGTGGAATATCTGGCCTTGGGGCCGCGGGCCTGCCGTCAAAGTGAGGCAGATCAACCTGTCGCGGTACGTACCGCGCGACAGCGATGTCTGCCCTGGGTGCTCCGAGGTTCTTCTCCTGAGCGCCTTCCCTGCATGTGCGTGCACAGATGCACCAGATTGCCAGTAGAGCACGACAGACACGCGCCCCCGAGCACGCTCTCCTCCTCCTCCTCCTCCTCCTCCTCCTCCTCCTCCTCCTCCTGCCCCGGAGGGGCACCCCCATAAGCGGGGTGTCGGGCCAAAGTGCCCCCTGCAGGCGGGGGGCACCGGGCCTTCGGGGTCCGAGCCCCCGCGCCCGGGCGTTCCTTCCCGGGGGGCTGCCAGGTCCCGTGGCCTCCCCCAGGGCGGTGCGGGAGTTCACTCCCCGCACTCGCCGCTTTGGGGCGGGACTGGCGGTCCTTCCCCCCGTCGTGTCGTGTCGTTGTCGTTGTCGTCGTCGTCGTTTCGTGGGTCCTGGGGTCCGGGTCTTTTTTTTGCCCTGCCCCTTGGGCGTGCGGGTGGCCCTTCCGTTTCGGCCTCCCCCGTGGGGGCGGCTCCGTTCGGTTGGGGCCTCCCGCCTGCCCGTGGGGCGGGGCCTTTTCCCCGTCGCGCGCGGGCGGTCTTGCCCGTCGCCCGCGTGGGCGGGGCGCCGTGGCCGCGCCGTCGGCCGTGCGCGACACGGTGCGGGCTGCCGCGCGCCGCGGAAAAAAAAATCCTCCTCCTGCTCCTCCTCCTGCTCCTCCTCCTCCTCCTCCTCCTCCTCCTCCTCCTCCTCCTCCTCCGTCCACCTCCCGTCACTCAACCGAACCCCGAGCAAACCATCCCCTTCCATGACGTCCCCCTCGCTTCCCCCGAAGGGCATGGAGGGCGCGGGGGACGCCACGGAAGGTGCTGGCAACGGAAGGGGTCGTCGGTCATGCCCCACGCCCGGAGCACGACAGAGCAACGCAAAGATAATGCGATGTCTTCGTTGGTTTGGGGAGGTCTTCGCGCCTCCAGCTGCGCTTTCCGGCGGCTGCGCCTCGCCGAGGGCGTTCCAGGGCTGCCCAGGTCGTCCCAGACGGCCGCCGGAGAGCTGAGCCACGGCCCGAGAGCCAGACCTCTCCGTCGTGGTGCACATCACGTGGTATCCCTCGGACGTGTGCACTCCTTCCCGGCGGGGACCATCGAGGACCATCGTGGACCATCGAGCAACAAAAAGCACGCACGAAACCGAAACATGCACGGGAAGTGGACGTCCGAGCGACGGCAAGAATCACGATAGCCGGTTCTTGGCAGGTTTCGGTTTCCCGGGGTGTCGCGGGTCCCTGGGCTCTCGCCGGGCCCCAGGGCCGTCAGCAAAGCTACTCGGGATGAGAAGCCGGTCCTGGGGCAGGGTCTAGCTTCCTGGGGGCCCAGCTCGGCTACGCGTCATGGTGACCACTTCGCGCGAGTGGCCTTTGTAAGTGCGGGCCCACAGGGCTCCCCCCAGCACTGTTTTTGCGCACTTGGATGTGGCCCCCCCGCGGCCTCCCCAATGCCGCGCACAAAAAGGCCAACATTGCCTGGGGTCACTCTTGCGCGTAGCCGACCTACGCTGTGACAGAAATCGCGATGTCCGAGATCTGTGGTGGGCAAACGGCAACTTCGCGAGCTCTTGCCAGGCTTCTCAGGCTATCCTGTGCCTCCGAGCCCGCGAGGCTGATTTCTAGGGGGCTGGACGGGCTGGGCTCTCTGAAGCCAATGCTCCAATGCTTCCCGATTCAAACATGGGGTGTCAGCAACGACCTGCTCGTAGGCCAGGGGGTAAGGCCCTCGTCGCCACTGCTGAAGGCGCTCGAGCAAGAACATATTCTGGATTGCGTCTCGGAGGGGTTCAGGAAATGATTGGGTTTCCACGCATGTCGTCGCTTCAGCGCTACAGCTTGAGCCAAGGGGTACAGTCACCCCGACTGCACACATGGCGTCCACTAATTAACCAGTCCTTGGCGCTCACTTACAACAAGCCTTGCCCTGTTAATTGTCCTATGTGCGTTTATTAAAGGGCTTCGCGTGTAGTTCGTTTTGTTTGTTTGTGTGTTATGAGGGTGATTAGTATACGTTCCACAGGATCGTCCAAGTTACATCAGCCCATCGGGCCGCATTCGGCTTCTTAGGACACTATGGTGTGTATGGTTGACAGATGTTGCCACTGGCACTCGCTGAACATGTTGCCAACTTTGTATTTGCATGTCGCAATGATGTCCACTCGTATGGTTGCGTCCGAGTGCATTCGAGTTAGAGTCAACTTCTGCATGCCGAGTTAGGGTCAACCCGCATTGTTAGGATGCACAACGTTCCAAGACCTTCGCTGGCCAGACGCACTCGAACCGTGTCAACATGGCCTTCCAAGGCCTTTGCATCCTTACCGAAGATCGAAGCGGGAGGATTGCGCGGCAACGACCGACAGCTACTCCGAGGCTGCATGCTGCGACGTTGCTGGCTTTACTTGTTTCGTGACGGACACGCCTGGCAAGGCCCAGCAGTATCGGCCATCGACCTCTGATGCCGAGTGCGCAGGCCGCCACTGCGGCCAATGCGTTTGTTGCCAGTGCTGTTTTTTTTTGCCAGTGCTGTGGTGTCGACTTGGCATGTTGCTTGACCTTGGCCGTTGGCTTGCGGTTCTCGCTGGGGCGGCCGTGGCCGATGAAGAGAAGGTCCTGGTGCATGCCTCAGATCCACCTCTCGTTGTAGTCCTTCTGCCTCAGCCGCTTGGAGTTCACGCGCGGCTCGCAGGCGGTTTCGTGGGTCTCGACGCGGGCGCCCCTGAAGAACCCTCCCTGGCATTCACCAGCATTGCACGGCGCCGCTCGCCATCAGTGACGCCTTCAGCTGTGTGACGCCTTGAGCTCTGCATGCAGACATCCTCCACGACCTCTGGTGAGCCCCACTGGGGCACCCTGGAGCGCGCCAGGCGCTGCAGCAAGCTGCTGCTGTAGGTCAGCGGCGCCCTTGTATCCAGAGGCTCCAGCCATTCTGGAAGCTGAACCGCTGCTCGGCCGCGGGCCCGAGCGGAGTTCCCCAGGTGATTGCTTCGCGGTTGTCGAGTCGGCCTGGGCGAGAGTTGGATACACACATGGCCGCATGTTTTCCAGCGCTCGGCCCTCGTTTGGCCAAGGGCCTCCAGTGGACGATGTCCCTCCACGAGTGTGTCCAGCAAGAGGCCTCCGCATGTTCCACATGTAGATCCAGCCATGTGCGTTGCTGGCCTCCTTGTAAGTAAGGATGATGTAGAGGAGGGTGCGGAGGACACAGACAGATCTCTGGAGGAATGGCATGAGGTGGCGGAGGAGGAAGGGGGTCTCTGCCCCTGGTGACGCGGTCGCCCTAGAAAAGAGCGTCTGTGTCGCTCTGCTCCATTCTCGTCAGGGGCCGCAGCATGATCAACGTTTTGTGTCAAGTTTCTTGGTAACAGCTGATCCCCTGGAGGGATCACCGCCCAGCAGCGAACCGCAGCCGCGGGGGCCCAAGCCGAGCCGCGCAATCTCCCTGCGCCTGGGCGATCACGGCCGGCGCACTTCAGGGGCAACGTTCGGGGGGGGACAGGCTCAGGGGCATCGTTCTGGGGGATAGGACTGAAGTTTGAGATTTGAGGTCTTCGGGCGTTTTCGTTGGACTCCGGCAGTTGTCCAGCGTCGGGAGGCTCTCCAGCAGCTGGGCTTCGACGGGCGTCCAGATCGTCCCGAGCGGCCGCCAGAGGCCCGAGTTATGCACCGAAGACCATCAGGGACGGGGATGGGCACAGGTGGGGATGCATCGACGCGAAGTCGCACACTGATCATCGATTTGGGCTAGAGGGCCCACACCGCCCAGGAGCGTGTGGATTCGCAATCGGGGGTATGCATGTCGCCGATTCAAGCTCGACGTGTCCTCCCCTCTGAGCCGCCCCCCCCCTGCCCAGAGCTCCGACGTCGTGAGTTTCTCACAACGCTGACCCTGCCTGGTTCCCCATCCCGACCCGCTTTCTGACGGCCCTGGCGCCCGGCGAGGGCTCGGGAGGCCGAAGAGTGCCAACAAAAGATCGTCCTGATTTTTCGCGGCGCATAGGCAGGGATCGCTTCTGTTCCTTGCACGAACGAAATGGGTACGGAAAGAATGGGTACAATGCCCAACTGCAGTTGCTGCTCATTTTGAACAGGGCTCGTTGTCCGCGCCGCCGCGGCCTGTGTCCATTTGAGACAGAAGGCCGCCTGCCCAACAGCGGCCGCTGCTGGTCTGGGACAGCATTTGTTGTTGGGCATTGCACCCATTCTTTCCGTACCCACTTCGGGCGTCCAAACTTTCAGCACCGCAGCGTACGGCGGCCGCGGGCATGGGCGACGAGCCCGCTCGAGCCTCCACCGGGGACGACCCCGAGGGGCCCTGCAGCAAGGGCGAGGTCGCGGGCGCGAGCGAGAGCCCGGCCCCGGAGGCCGTGCCCGAGGAGCGGGGAGAGCGAGGCGGCCCATGAGTCGAGCAGTTGCGAAGCGTCCTGGCTTGGTTAACCGCAGGCCCACCAATCTAGGCCTTCTGGATGGGGTCAGAGTAGATGGGGTCGGAGGATCGCGCCGCATCGGCGATGCATCGGCGATGTATCGGTGATGCATGAGCGATGCGGCTCGATGTGGGGCCTAAATTTCTTCACGCCGACGTCGCCCATGCATCGCCGACGTCGCCAGTGCATGGCCGATGCATCGCCGATGTATCAGCGATGCGGCGAGATCCTCCGACCCCATCTACTCGGACCCCATCCAGGAGACCTCTAACCAAAGAACCTTCTAAAAGCCTTTTTTGGTTTGCAAGAGATGTTCCTGGAACATGTCCGGCTGAGACCGCCTTGTTTTAGCACATCGGGTTTCTGTTTGAGAGCCGTGTTTTTATTCTCGGAATTTTCTTTTGTTCTGGGAGTATCCCGTGGTAAGCCTATAGGAGTGCTGGGACGGTCGGTCCCTGTTCAAATCAGGGGCAATGTTGATTAGGGGAGGGTATGAGTTCGAGGTTCGAGGTCTTCGTCTTTCCAGCCTCGGGGTGCTCTCCGGCAGCTGCGCCTCGCCGAGATCGTTCCGGGCGTGCCCAGATGGTCCCGAACGACTGCTGGAAAGCCGAGATCTGACCCGAAAGCCATGGGGCAATATTAGGGAGATGGGCTCGGGGGGGATGCGTCGACCCCAGATCGCCCACGCATCGTCGATAGGACCCCGATAGCCCACTCCGAGGAACGTGCGGATGCGCTATAGGGGGCGGTGTATCGCCGATTCAAGGTCGATGTTTCCCCCCCTGATCTGGTCCCCCCTATCTTTGACCCTCAGGGGAGCGAGAGCGCCAGGTCTCGCCGATCATCGGCGCAGGCAGAGTGAAGATCAGCAGGTGCGAGGCAGCAGGATGTCGATCGCAGTGGCAAGCCAGGCAGCTGCGGCGTTGCCAGATGTCCGGCTGCCTGCGGCAACACCCGCCCACGTCCCATCGCAGCAATTTGCGTGGCGACCTTTTCGAGCATCGCCAGGGAGGGCCATCACACGTAATAATTGTCGCCCCTACCAAGAGGTAGACGAATGATGAGGAGAAGAAGGATAACGAGGAGGATCGTGAGGAGGAAGGAGAGGACAAGGAGGAGGAGGATGAGGAGCACGACGGCGAGGAATGTTGTCACATGTTTCACATCTCCTTCCAAGACCGAGGAAGAGGACGAGTAGGGTTAGGAGGAGGATAAGGAGGATTTAGAGCTGTGAGAGAAGGTTGAGGACAAGGAGGAAGAGGGGGAGGTATGGCGGGGAGGATGAATCTCGTCATATTGTGACACTCGTCGGTCCTTTGGAGAGGATGTGGAGGATCAAGATGACTAGAGTAAACCGAAAATGCGTCCGCCATGCCGCAATACGCCCGCCAGTCCCAAGTCCCCTTCTCATAAGGCGCTACGCACTTTCATTCTCACTACAAGAAGCGCCCCCTTGAAAGACGAGCACCCAGCACCCAGTGGGCCTGCGATGCAGCCGAGAGCTCCGTTTCGAAAAGGAGTTGCCTTGTATCTTTCTGGCGAGAAGTTCGGGATGCAAACGGATGTGACGATATGACAATACCGTGTTGAAACAGCGTCACCGTTGCGTGAGTTTACACCTGGCCTTTTTTGAAAAGGAACCGCCGTCCATTCGTGAGGCTCTTACGTGCGTGCAATGCGTTGCCCCTAGATCTCAAGAAAGTCGTCCGCGATAGCCCCTTCTTGAGCAGGATCCGTCCCCCGCCCCTGCAATCGCTGCACACGCTCAAGACGACTGCGCGCGGCGCTGCGGCAAGAGCTCTATTTTGAGCATCCCCCCTCCATGATCGTAGATGTTACAGTATGGTAAGATGGTCTTGTGGGGCGCTTAAGCGACTGCTCCATTCTGAAAGCCGCCCGCCATCCAAGATTGCATCCTTTGCAGACTTTGGGATGATTGTGAGCGTCGCTACTGCGGAAGCTCATTTTTGAATTCGTCCCGCCTTCCTCCTGGGCCATGGCCATGATTCACGAAGTGGTCTGAGGCGACACGCCTGGCTGGCCCTACCGACACATATGGTGGTCAGACGGGGTCGATTGATCGGCAGACATGATCATATGAAGGAGTAATCTGGATGGATAATACAGATCTTGGTTCATCCACTGACGAGGAGGATTAGGAGGAGAAAGAGGGGATGATAATGATGAGGAAGGCATGTCGTCACATGTGAAACCTGTCGCCCCCAGCAGGAGAACTATGAGGTAGACGAGGAGGAGGAGGAGGAGGAGGAGGAGGAGGAGGAGGAGGACTGAGTCGTCCTGAGCCTTGGGAGAGATTAAGGGGGGTACAGATAGATAATGATAATGAAGGAGATACAACAAGCAACGCGATGGACGTGATATGTGACGCCCCCTCCCCCCCCTTCCCCCCCTATGGCGGTAGAAGAACGGGGTCGCGTTCTGGCGAATGGCGGTGTGAGGGGTAGGGTGTTAAGGTCAGGGTGTTAGGGTCATGGTTTTGGGATTAGGGTGTTAGTGTTTGCGTGTTAGGATTTGGTGCTCAAGGTTGGGGGATTCGGTGGCCTGGGGTACTGTCGGGGTGTTCGGGTCAGGGTGTTTTGGGCTAGGGTTCCAGCGTTCAGGTAGTAGGATTTGGGTCATGGCGTCAGCCTTCTGGTGAACGCTGGAGTCACACGCCTACCTAGGGCGAGGGCATTCGGGGATTAGGGTGAGGGTGCTAGGGTTCAGCTGCTGACGGTTTTGGTGGCTTCATAGTTTTAGAAGTGGGGTGATACGGTTGGGATTTGGGTATCAGGGGTAGGGTTAGTGTTTAAGGTGAGGGGGCTAGTGGTAGGGTGTTAGGGCTAGGGCGATAGGGTTGGGGTGTCAGGGTCAGCGTGTTAGGTGTGGGAGGACAGAGATGAACATTACCGCCGTCGCTGTGGGACAGCGACGGGTGCTGCGGCGGCGGCGACGAGGACGACCGTGTGCGTGGCGGCTTCCCTTCGCCCTCAGAAGCCGCGCGCCGCACCGCACCGCCCCCGTCAGCGGGCCACCCTGGGCCTCCAGGATGGTGTCGGTGGGACCTCCCAGTCGAGGCCAGAAGCACGGCCCCTGGGCCCAGGCAGTTGCAGCTTCAGACAGAGTCACCGTGTCCTGCCTCTTACAGCGTCCCTTCCACCATCTGGCTTAGAATTTTGCTACCACTCAGAGTCGCGCCACCACTTGGGGTGTCCGTTCTACCATTCTGCTGGGTGCCCCTTCTACCACTCAGCCAGGTGCCCATTCTACAACTTAACCAGTTGACCGCTTACCACGCCGCTCGACAGTTTGGTTGGTTGACCGTTCTACCATCTCAGCCCTCTTTGTCACTTAACAGGGCCTCGTGTGGTCCTTCACGTGAGCCTCAGAGGGTCCCAATTTTTTGTGTTTGGGAGGATTCCGTTGGGCTTCGTCGACATCCAGGCGAAACTTGAACGAAATCTGGACGAAATCTGAACAAAAGGGTGAAGAGGGGTGGTTGAAATCTCGACGAACTCCAGTCGGAATCGCGTCTATGATAGGGCCGCGGAGGTCCACAGAGGCTCCCGTGAAGGCTTGCCCAACAGGGCCGCGCTCTGTCGTGCGGGGCTAGGACGAGGACGAATCCACTCCAGAGCGTTCCAGAAAGCTCTCACAGCCTTCCCGAACGCTTCAGGCCGCGGCGCCCGAGGTATCCTTCGGAGCCGCCGGATCTCAGAGATGCTCGATTTATCTTCATCCCAGCTTGTCCTCGTCCCGGCTTCGACTTACCGCGCTCTGCCCCCGAGGAGGGCTGGACCACCTGCGGCCCTTGCGCGCTGCCCACCGGCACGGCGTCCCTGGACGCTTCCGGCGCGGCGGCCTTCCCGGGGGAGGGCCTGGCGCGGCGGCGGGCCGCCTGGGAGAACGACGGGTTGCCCGACGGCGCCGCGTCTACGGGCGGCTCCGGCGGGGCTTCCTCCAGCGCGTCCCGCGCCCCAGCGCAGGGTGGTGCCGAGGCGGGGCGCGCGCGAGGGGGGGCGGGGGGCGGGCGCTTCGTTGTTCTTGGTAGTGCTGGGGGCGTTGTGGTGTCAGTCTTCCGTGATTCGTTCTTGTTTCGACCGAGTCGTTCTGAGGCCGACATCTTGGAACATGGGCGCCAGGCAGACGGCCTTGCGATACCGTAAAGCGCATCGGAAAAGGATAGAACATGTGCTGGTGGGCCACGGACCGATCCCAGACTTGAAGACGTAATGAACCAAAACGGCGCCCACGACGGAAAGACATCGTCGATCCTGAAAACGAGGAACGAAAACATTCCAAGCGTTTTTAAGATCATCTAAGGGACGGGCGGAGAGTCCCGTGGGTCAGTGGGGCAACGAGAGGCTCGAGAGGTCAAGCTGTTCAAGGTTCGTCTCAGGGGCAACGTCAGGGGGGATAGGCGCGAGGTTCGAGGTTCTCGGGCGCTTTCGTCGGATCTCCACGGTTTCCCAGCCTCGGGATGGGATCCAGCACCTGCGCCTCGCCGAGAGCGTTCCGGGGGGCCTGGGTCGTCCATAACCGCCGCTGGAGGCCCGTTTTATGGCCCCGTAGCAACCGAGGACGGGATGGGCTCAGGGGGAAGCGTGAGGACGTATCCGTAATCCATATTAGCGCGTGCCCGGCTTCAGTGAGAGAGCGATTGACCCAGATTTCCGGCGAGCTGATTTTTGCTCAGCTGCGGTTTGTTTTCTGTTTCGGGCATCGGGGGCCGTCTGCGGGCCCAGGGGCAATGAAAAAGTGGCCTTTGGGCGAAAAAACTACCCCACAGGGGCACTTCTATTGAGGGAGAAAGTAGAGTTAAGTCGGGCCTGTCCCGCTACAGGGGGGATATTCAAAAATAGTTAAAAAATGCTCTGGGGACCATTTTGGGAGCTTTCTGGGGGGGGATATCTGTTTGATTATTGCTTGGGTATTTTGAAGCTTTCGCCACACATCCCCCTGTAGGGGTCACGCCCGATTTAATTCTATGGAGGGAGCCAGTAGAGATGGCCGTGAAGCAGACGTGTCCTGAGGCAAACATGTATTCACAACTTCACAGTTCTGGGGGCTCCCTGAGCCCTCCCCGGGCCCCCGGGCCCAGGACTCGTTGTCTGCAGGACCCGTTATGTCTCATGCGATAGGTAGAGAGAACCAGAACCAGTGGGGCAAGCCTACCCAGGGAGCAACGCTAGGGATCTGGCACGTTCGAAGTGAGCTTCCCGCCGACGTCGCTTTGAATCCCGCCTGCTGCCAGCCGCCGGACGCGAGCTAGCACGTTCGGAATTGCACAGCCATTATTTTGCAACATCGCTGGCATCGCGAAGTTGACCGGAAGCGAGCCCGCACTCACGCCAGCCCTTGCCGGCAGCCTTTGCAGCGCGATGTGCGCAACCCGTGAGCCGTCACGCTTGGAAGTAGTTTGTTGGCAGCAACGCCAGCAGCGTGAGGTGGACCAGAAACGAGCTGGCACGGCTGCCAGGGCCACGGGAGAGACATTGGCCATCGACATCTGCAGTTTGATAATGGTTACTAGTGGCCTAGTGGCCTAGTGCCCTTCGGCGCATCCCACCACCGCGCCTCGGTTGTGGGCCAGAGGATTCCCTTGTCTTGCGATACCTCTCGGTCGGTATTGGGGGCCTCTCGAGGGGCCCGTTGGGGGTCTTATTCAGGGTCTTTCGGTTGCCTATTGGTTCAGTCTGTGGGGTGCTGGCTCCCAAGGTCGGGTCGAGTTCCCCCTTTTGGGCCCCCCTTCGGGCCCTTTCTTGAGGCCTCTGGGGCCGTCAAGCTGGCGTCTTGGGCCGTCTTGGGACACACGTGTGTCGGGACCATTTTGAGGGGGCTCGTAGTCTGTGCTGGAGGCTTTGGAAGACGATCTTGGAACGCAGCAGCAATATTCAAACATGTCACAAAACAAGCACATGGTTTGGGCGTCTTTTGCCCCTCTTGGTTGACCTCTTGGAGCCCTCTTGCCAAGAGGGCTCCAAGAGGTTCTTGGGGCCTCTCGGAGGACCTGTGCTGTTGGGCCGTCTTGTGGCCGTTTCGGGGCGCTCTGGGGCCGTCTCTGAATCTCTTGGCCAGTCTTGTTGCACCTTTGGTACCCTTTTAGCCCATCACGGCGCAAGTCCCGCGGCAAGTCACAAGAGTCACGCGAAACCGTGCAGAATTTCCAGGACATGGATTCATGGGCAAGAAAATTGCGTTTAAAAATATTACAAAGGAAATGGGAAACCCGGTGCGGAGGATTCTGGGTGGCCTGAGGGCACTCCACTCAGCGCTTTGCGGCACAGTGGCAGATTTAGTAGATGTGGAGTTCCCCTGGCAAGCCTACTCAGGGAATCTCTTTCTCACGACCAGCCGTTTGCGAACCCGTGCGTGGTGTCCGAGGTTTGCAGGTGTTAACAGAACATGTCGGGTCAGACCGGCAAGGTGACAGATCCGGGAAGCATGACAATTTCTAATGATCGGCGGTCCACCCAGGGTTGAAGTGAAGAGGTGGCAGGCCTTCCCAGCAGGCGGCAGGGCTTCTCAGAAGCCCTCACGCCTTCTTAGATGTTTCTTGTGTCTTCCTGGAAGGCTTAGAAACGTCTCAGAAGGCCAGAGGCCTTCCGAGACTTCTGCGAAGGCCCGCCCCCCATCATGTCCCCTCTGGGCTTGCCACGACAGAGGTCACCACATTCGAGCTGGGCCGGCTTGCTTCCCAGGGCTGGACCTAAACGCTGCTTTGTTGGACTTTGGCTGTGTTTTGTTTGTTCGTTTTGGCAGGGAGGTACAGGAAAACAGGCAGAGCAAAACGAAAACAAAACGAGAAACAACATTTAGGTCTAGCCCTGTTGCTTCCAAGGCCACAAGCTTTGAGCAACCAGTGCCCGTTCGGCCACCGACTGCGCTTCTGCCGCGACGCCGTCATAATTCCAACCCGCGCTGCACGCCGCAGAAGCGTGTGTGGGCGCCTCTCGGGCAGCAGCTGCGCTTGAGCACGGCGACGAATGGCCAGGATGACCGTCGGAACAGCATGTTGCTTCGTATGGTGGTGTCCCCTTTCCCTCAGTGGGAGAGCTGGCACATTCATCATCCCTGCATCGAATTCACGATTTACCGAAAATTAATGACCATCGGAACAGCAAGGCAACAACGCAGTGCTCCCCAGCGACTGCCCCATCCAATTCCTCGTCCGTTCTCCTCCAATTCTTGTTTTCCCTTCTCTAGGCCGTGGTCGTTCCTTGTTCCTTGTTCTCCATTCTCATCCTCGTCGTCCCCCTCCCCTCTTGAAATGGACCCCCCGGTCTCTCCAGGGGCTCCCTCCCAGACATCCGAGGCGAATCCAGATCCTCCCAGAGGCCCAATACAGTCGAAACCGATGGTAAGGATGGGTAACCTTCCCAAGGGTACCCTTGCATCCGTGCCTCTTTGGTCCATCCGTGACTCCTTTCGATGGCCCGCCACATTCAAAAAAGCTCCAGCACGGGCGTCCAAGGGGCTTGCATCCTTATCGCTAGTTCTTGCTATCAGTTTTGATTGGACGGTGGAGGGTGATTTTAAAGTGTCGGTTCTCTATCCTCATGCCTATCTCCGAAGAAGAGAGAGCGGCATACCCATAAACTTCCGGACGGGTCTGGTGGATCGGCGTTGGGCCCCCTCCCTGGCGCCTCTGGCGACGCACCCGGCGCGCTCCGCGCGCCAGGGAGGGGGACCCAGCGCCGATGATGAAATCCGCGTGGACTTCCGGAAGTTTATGTGTATGCAGTTTTTTTTTTCTGCCCCTTCCTTTACCGACGAAGATGTGCGACCTCGAGAGAGGTCTGCTCGCCCCTGGCAGGCCACTGCTGCGGCCGAGCACCTGGACGCTGGTGCCAGCTCGCCAGCGGAGACCAGGGGGCGCGCAAAGGTATGTTCATGGCCGCCTGCGATCTTCAACTGAGGAGTAGTCAATGGCGTAAACATAAACTTTCGGAGACCCACGCAGCTTTCTTTGATCATTGATCTGTGCTGGAAACTTCTGGCGGCACCTCCAGCGCCGCCCTTAGCTCGCTCCGCGCGCCGAGAAGGGGGGGGTCAGCGCAGATCCTAGAAATCCGCACGGACCTCGGAAAGGATATGTTTGTGCAGTGTCTTCTTTGCATCCTTCCTCCCAGAGACGAGAGCTCAGGCATCTTGAGGCAGACGTCTTCTGATGCCACCCGTATGCACAACACTATTGACCTACAGTCAACCCGCATAGTAAGGATGGGCAACCTTCCCAAGGGTACCCTTGCATCCTTGCCTCCTCGGCCCATCCTTCGCCACTTTCGTCGGCCGCGCCCCGCTCGAAAAGCTCCGAAATGGGCGTCCAAGGTCCTTGCATGCATCCTTATCGCGCATCCTTACTATACGGGTTGACCTAGAGCAAAACTGCTGTGCATTCGGTGAGACTGGTCTTTGGCAGGCAGGACCGTGGGCGCTCGCTGGTCCCGCTTCCCGTTCCCCTTCCCTACTCATTTCGTCCTCCTGCTCTCTTCGCTTCCACCTCTCCTCGCTCCTGCTTTTGTGGAGGACGATCAACGGAGAGGAAGCATGTTGCCAAATCATTTCCCGATGTCTAGAACATGTGTTAAAACTGTTGAAAACATGTAAAAACATGTTTCAAACATGTTCAGGACATTTTACCGACATGTAAAACACATTTTTTATTCGATGACCGGACTGTTAGGGTGTCCATTGTCATGGCATCCACAATCCTGCCTCCATGCTTATCCTCCCCCTCTTTCCCCTTCTCCCTTGTCCGCTCCCTGCGCCCTCTGGATACTGTACAGCATGAGGTGTGGAATTCGATGCACCAACTGATGGTTGAAAATAGTGGTAATGATTGACGCTTCGCGTAACCCCACCAGCCCATCCAGAGACGATGCCCAGAGGAGTTGCCTCGATCAGGGAAGTTGGCAGCACGCAGAGGAAGGGTCCCCCAGTGGAGACCTCGTGGAGCGTCTGCGGGCCTCTTGGCGGTCCCGGGGGCCTCTTGGAGCGTCTTGGGTACCTCGGGGAGCCTCTTGGGGCCTCTTGGGGATCTCTTGGGAGCCTCTTGGAGGCCTCTTGGGCGCCTCTTGGGGCCTCCTGGGTGCCTCGTGGGGCCCTCTTGAGGCGCTCTTGGGAGCCTTGGGAGCGATCTCTGGGCCATCTTGGAAGAGATCGATCAAACAAATGGGAGCTTTAATTACGAACCCCCCTTGGGAGCCCCAAACATCTCATCTTGGTGTTGGGCCCTCGTTTTGAGTCCGCAGCGTCCCGCATCCTCCTCAATTCCTGCCCCCCTCCTTCCGACCCCGACCCTGCTCGCCGCGTGACATCCTCACACGCTTTGTGGCCCCATGGAGGGCTCAACCGCAGGCCCCAGCGGCAGAGTTCGCATCGCGCCGCCCCGCCCTTTTTGGCACACCCCTCACACGTGTCGTGACCCATTGGGAGCTACACCGAAGGCCCCAGTGGCAGGGTTCGCAGGAAGGGGCGCCAAGAGGCCGAGGCGCAGTGGATATGGATAAACATCTAGCCTGCGGGGGACATAATTCTAACCATATCCAGTGCGCCTCGGTTTTCGCGGGGGAAAGGGGCATAGAACTCCAAGACGCAGCGGATGTGAATTGTGAATACAAAGATTGGACGCATTTTTCGGCGGCGAGCGAAGGGGGAGAAGTGAGAAGGAGACGGCCTTCCCAGAAGGCGGCGGGGTTCCTCTGAAGTCCTCCCGCCTTCTGAGAGGTTTTCTGTGCCTTCATAGAAGGTTAAGAAAACTTCTCAGAAGACCCGGGGAATCCCGAGCCGAGCCTTCTGAGAAGGCCTTCTCCTTCTCACTTCCCCCTCCTCGCTCGCCGCCGACTCTGGGGGGGGGCACCGGACACCAAGACGCAGCGGATGTGAACACAAGTCTTGGCCGCCTTCTCCGGGGCCCGCCAGGCGTAGGCCTCGCGCCAGAGGCCAGCCCCGACCGCCCGCACGCAGAGGGGCCGGCCGTCTCCCCGGGCAGGGGGCCCTGGCGCGGAGCGGGGGCCTCGCACGCAGACTGCCCGCCGGGGAGGCCAGGAGTGGGCCCAGTCGGGGCTCAAGATCGGGTCGGACGAAAGGGGGGGATGAGGAAAGAGGGAGGGGGGTACGAAATCTGCTGCATGCAGCTGGTTTCGGCCCCACCGAGGGGCCCATTCCTCGATACATAGCCGCCTCTGGCGCCTGGAGGCGCCGGGAAAATCAGCTACGCGAGCTGATTCTCAACTTTCCCCTTTGCTGTCCCCCCCTTTCGCCCGGCCCGACAAGAGCCAAGGGTGACTGCAAACGAGGTTCAGTCACAGCGCCAGAGCGTGCAGAATCCTGCAGAGCAGGGGCCGGCCTGGCCCAGGTGTGGGTGTTGGAGCCCGCAGGATCGCGCAAAGGCCGACAGGCCCGGGCTTGTCAGTAGGCCCCCGAGGTCCCCTGGCGCGGAGCGGGGGCCTCGCACACAGACTGCCTGCCGGGGAGGCCAAAAAAGGATTCCAGGGCCGAGCTCCCAATCGAAAGGGTTTTTGTTTCTATCAGCGGCGACTTGGGTCGAAGACGCGGTTGGGAGAGCCGAGGGGCATCTCCTTGGCATCGCTCGGACGTGTGCATTCTTCCTTCGGCGAGGACCATCGAGGAGCATCCTTGTTCACGTGGCGAATGAACCACGCACGAAACCGAACAAAGCATGGGGAGTGGACGTCCGAGCGATGGCCAGGGGAGGGAGCCGCGGGCGGCGGAGCACGCTCAGACCGTGAAGGCACTGTACGCGTGCGTGTGGGTGTCGGGGCAACACGGGCAGCCAGCTTGGAGTGGCAAAGGCGAGCCGGCTTGATTACCTCGGAAATTGTCAAGCAGTGGCGAAGCGTCCTGGCTCGCCGATAGCCCGACCAAAGAATGTTCTAAGAACCTTCTGTGGTTCCCACGAACTGTTCTTAGAACATGCCTGGCGGAGTCTGTCTTGTTTATACACATCGGGCTAGTGTTCTAAGAACATTGTTTTTGTTCTTCGAACATATCATGTCGTGGCAGGACTATAGGAATGCCGGGACGGTCGGCCCCTGCTCAAAACTGGAACATATATATATATATATATATATTACCAGTGGCTGGCTGTTCTTGAATCCCAGGACTTCCTGAGGGTCGGGGACGACGCTGGGGTGGTGTGGTGTATATGTGTTGTCCCCGATGTTCCGGGAAAACAGCCGAACATGTATAAGCCAGGGTTCCGTCTACACCAGGATCGGCTCTCCCGTGCAAATTCCAATGCAGTGCCGGAAGAAGCGTCGGTGTATAGAGTTCGATTCCCTACTACCAGGGTGCGGCAACTCCGAGGCGATTGTTGCGCACGCAAGGCATGCGCCGATCAAAACGACAATCATCGATAAGAAGTGTTCATGCCGCCACCAATCGGAACGACCAGCACCGAAAGGAACAGCACCGACAGGAGCACCAGGCGTCTCCAGGGCCCCCGGCCCTCCTGGGCGAGCCCGAGGCCTCCCCGAGGCCCAATAAGGGGAAAAAGCGTTGAGAAAATGTCGGCTATCGATTTCCATGCTGGCCCCCGGAGGTCAGGAGCGAAAGAAGGACGTACACGTACATGAATCCACGCTGTTTTCGAGATTTCGCATTGGGGGAATATTCGTATCACGCGGCCGGTCTCGCGGGTCAAGGGGCCGTGTTCATGTACATAGCTGGGCGCGTACGTCCTTTGTGGGCTCCCTAGGAGGGGAGAGAACAGCGGCATGAGCAGATGGTCGTCGGAGCTCCGCGCCGATGTCTCGGATCGGCGCTGGGCCCCTCCCCCTGCCAGCGCCACCGCCCCCTCTGGGAGGGGGGGCCCGGCGCCAACGAAACAGCTCTTGCGGACCTCCGAGGCTTTGTATGCTTGGGCCGATCGAAAGGACAGTCGAGCGCCAGCACGCGTGTGTGTGCCGAGCGCAGGCAGGTTTCGCCCTCCTGGCTCTTCGAGACCCACCAGCACTTGAGCCTCAATGGCTCTTCGACCGTGTGCCACTTCGGAGACCGCCCCCCCAGCGCCGTGCCCTTTGCACCCCCCCCCCCACGGCCACGGCAGGTGCCCGCCGCGTCGACCCCGCGGCGACCCCTGCGCGGGCGCTCAGGGTTGCATGCCTTCACCGGGGGCTCCCGAACGGTGTGGTGACCACACCGCTTGGTGAGTCAGTGGGCACTCGGGGTCACCGCACGGCTCTTGGACTCAAAGTCCTTCTCTCGGGTGACCGGGACTCGGACCTCCGAGGTCCCCAGACCGTGCGGCGACGGGCCGCGCGGGGAGTTCTCTCGGGAGTTCTAGGTCGCCGCGCTGTCCGTCACCGCACGGTTTTGTGACCCCCGAGCCCCCGGTGGCCTGGTATGGGCCGGTGTCGAGCGATTTGTTCTCCTTCGCAGAGCCGCGATCGTTACAGGTTGCACGGTCCACGCGTTGCCGGAGAGCAGCGCCGACGTTGTCACGGCATGAGCCGTCCCTTACCAGCCTGGAGCAGATCCTTGTCTTTATGATTGGCACCGCCCGATCTCAGTGCCGCTCTGAAGGACTTCTCTTAGCTTTCAAGGGTGCGTCCCTGAGATCGTCATCGCCTTTGGGCCTGCAGGTCGAGGCCGCTGAGTCCCCTCTCCCCTCGGTTCGCCGCCCACTCCTCAGGAGGTGCTGCTGCGGCTCCAGATCCTCGACGCCTCGGGTGCAGAGCGGCGCGACGAGGTTCACATCAGCCGCAGCCCTGGGAGCCCCCCAAGGGCGGGGCCTGCAGGGATGCGGATGGAGGCAAGGAGGAGGGGGAGGGGAGGAATGGGGGAGATGAGGGGTCGAACGAGGACGAAGCCAACGAAGATAGTGGGAAGGGGCGTCTTGGAGTCATACCCTTGTGTGGTCCTTCATGGGAGCCTCAGATGGTCCAACGATTCCTTGCGCTTTTGAGGGTTTCGTCCGGATTTCGTCGGATGTGCTCGACATTTGGACGAAATCTGGGCAACATCGGAGAGTGATAATGCACCACCACCACCACCACCACCATCACCACCTGCCCCCCCCTCTCCAACAAAAAGATGTCACGGACCACGCGTCTGACAGTAGATTCAGAGCCTGTCCAGCCCATTCCTGCCCAGTCCAGCTCAGCAGACCTCCCTACCAGGATCCCCAGGTCGCAACCAGAGAGTCATCACACACCGGCCTCGCATTCCAGGGCGACGATGAGGCGCAGCGTAAAGATCAGATGGGTGCATTGTTGCTTCGTGCTTCCCAGGGGAGGGGTGCCAAGTGGTGGTGGTGTTTTTTTTGCTGTCCTACAGTCAGGGGTGGTGGGAGTCTGGACGATATTTGGTCGAAATCACACATATGATAGGGCTGCGCTGGAGGACGGAATGGAGGAAGGGAGGGGGAAGGGAGGAGGGAGGAGGGAAGGAGGCAGGAGGGAGGGAGGGAGGGAGGGAGGGAGGACGGGAGAGAGACGGAGGAGGGAGGCAGGGAGGGAGGGAGGGAGAGAGGGAGGGAGGGAGGCGGGAGGGAGGAGGTGGAGATGGGTTTTTATTCGTTGAAACCGTAACGTCCGTTCTGGGGGTTCGCGACCCCCCCCCGTAATGGTAACGAACGTGCGGGAAGGGTGCTTGGGCCTCCCCACAGCTATGGTGCCGTGCTCACGGGCAAAGTGTCGTGCTGACAGACACCGGAGAGCTTCCAGACGCCTCCTGAGGTGATCGTCGTCATCGCCGTCGTTGTCGTCGTCACCCTCGTCATCGCCGTCGTTGTTGTCGTCGTCGTCGTCGTCGTCGTCGTGGTCATTGTCGTGATCATCGTCTTCCTTGTTCGCGTCCCCGTGCTCGTCGTCGTCGTCGTCGTTGTCGTCGTTGTTGTGACCGTTGTTGTCGTCGTGTCCGAGGGCGTCGCAGGGCCCGCCGACGCTTCCTGAGGCCTGCAGAGATCTCCTGAGCCCTCTGGAGACATGTGTAGAGATTCAGTGGTGACCGTCGTCGTCGTTGCCGTCCTGGCCCTCGTCGTCGTCGTCATCGTCGTCGTCGTCGTTTCCGAGGGCCTCGTTGAGCCTCCAGATGCCTCCAGAGGCCTCAGGGAACCTCCTGAAGTTTCTGCAGTTTCTGCAGACCTTTGCAGGCCTTCAGAGGCGGCCGTCGTCGTTTGTCGTCTTCGTCGTCGTCGTCATCGTTGTCGTCGTTGTCGTCGCCGTCGTCCTCTTCGTCACCGTCGTTTGTCGTCCCCGTCCTCGTCGTGGTCGTCGTCCTTGCTCTCGTCGTCGTCGTCGTCCTCATCCTCGTCCTCGTCCTAGTCGTCGACGTCATCCTTGCTTTCGTTGTCGTATTCCTCCTTGTCGTCGTCGTCATTGTCGAAGTAGTCGTCGTCGTCGCCGTCGTCGTCTTCCCCGTCCTCGTCGTCGCGGCTACTCTCGTCGTCGTTGTTGCCGTTGCCGTCGTCCCCTTCCTCGTCGTGGTCGTTGTTTCAGTCGACGTCGTCGTCGTCGTCGACTTCGTCGTCGTCCTCGTCCCTGTCGTCGTCGTCGTCTTCCTCGTCCTCCTCGTCCTGGTCCTCGTCGTCGTCCTCGTCCTCATCGCTGTCGTCGTCGCCAAGGGCTTCGAAGGGCCTCTAGACGCCTCCAGAGGTCTCCGGAGACTTCTTTAGGCCTCTGGAGAGCTTCAGAGACATTCAGAGGCGGCTTTCGTCGTCCTCGTCCTCGTCGTCGTCGCCTCCAGGGGCCCCCGCGAACCTTCTCAGGCCTCTCGGAACCTCTGGAGACCTCCAGAGGCGGTCGTCGTCGCTCGTCGTTAGCGTCGTCGCCGTCGTCGTCTTCGTGGTTGTCGTATGTTCGTAAGCCTCATCCTCGTCGTCGTCCTTGCTTTCGTCCTCGTCGTCATCTTCGTCGTTGCCGTCCCCGTCCGCGTTTTCGTCCTTGTCATTGTCCTTGTCGTCGTTGTCGTCGTCGTCGTTGTCGTCGTCGTCCTTGCTCTCGCCCTTGTCCTTGTTGTGGACGTCGTCCTTGTCGTCGTCTTCGTTCTCGTCGTCGTCGTCTACTTCGTCGTCGTCCTCTTCGTCGTCGTCGTTGTCGTCGTCCCCGTTCTCATCCTCGTCATCGTCCTTGTCCTCGTCGTCCACGTCGTCGTCGTCGTTGTTGTCGTCCCCGTTCTCATCCTCGTCCTCGTCCTTGTCCTCGTTGTCATCGTCCTCGTCGTCGTCCTTGTCCTCGTCCCCGTTTATGATTCGAGATTGTTCTTTTACCCGGTAGACCCGTAACGTCCGTTTCGGGAGGGTCGCCTCCCCCCCTCCCCCCGTAACCGTAAGGAACGTAGGGGGAGGGGGTCCCGATCCAAGCTATGACGTTGTGTTCACGGGCATGGCGCGGTGCTCACAGGCACGGGAGAGCCTGCAGACGCCTCCAGAAGCGGACGTCGTCGTCGTCGTTGTAGTCGTTGTCGTCGTCGTTGTCGCCGTCGTTGTTGTTGTCGTCGTCGTCGACGTCGTCGTCGTGGTCGTGGTCGTTGTCGTCGTCGTTGTCGTGGTCGTCGTCGTCGTCTTCCTTGTCCTCGTCCCCGTCCTCGTCCTCATCATCGTCGTCGTCGTTATCGTCGTTGTCGTCCTGGTCGTATCTGGGGGCTTCGCAGGGCCTGCAGACGCTTCGAAAGGCCTCCGAATATTTAATCGCTTCGCTCATTCCGCCGGCCCATACAGTCTCATGTCTGCCGTTTGCCCGAGGGCCTGGTGTCAATGCGGCGCTTTGGGGGTTCCTGGGGCCGCTTGGGGGACTCCTGGGGCGCTCGGGGGGGCATTTGGGGGGCCTCCTGGGGCCGCTTGGGGGACTCTTGGGGGCCTCCTGAGGGCCTCGTGGGGGCCTCTTGGGGCCTCATAGGGGCCTCTTGGGGCCTCGTAGGGGCTTCTTAGGGCCGAGGGCTCGAAATGTTGTTTCGTGTTCCCTCTCTGGGGCCCCTTTGGGGGCGTTCTTGGGGCCCTCTTGGACCGTCTTGGAGGCTTCTTGGGCCGTCTTCGAGCCCTCTTGGGCCATCTTGGGGCCCTCTTGGGGGCCTCTTGGGCCCTCTTGGGGCGATCTTGGGGGCCTCTTGGGCCGTCTTGGGGCGTCGGGAAGCCGAAAAGGTGGAAGCTCCAAAATCTTTCAAAAACCTAAGGAAAAACAATGAATTTTGCCTCCGGGGGCCCTCTTGGGAGTGCTCTTGGAGGCCTCTTGGGGCGTCTGGGGGCTATCTTGGGCGTCTTGGAGCGATCTTGTGGCATGTCGGACCCCTCGTGTACCATCTTGGGGGCCTCTTGGGGGCCTCTTGGCCTTTCTTGGGGCTCTCGGGGACGTCTCGGAGCCCTGTTGGTGCGCTCATGGAGCGCTCCTGGAGCGCTCTGGGGGAGTCTCCCGGGGATCGCCCGGGGGTCGGTCGGGGTACTTTTCGTCCGGGGACCCTCAGGGGCCGCCCCGCGCGCGCGAACTAGAGAATTGTTAACCAGTTACCGGAGATCTTAGCACGCCTCTGGCCCGTTGGGCCCGCGAATTTCCTGAGGCGTCCAGAGATTTCTGTAGACCGTCGTCGTCGTTGTTTGTGGCCGTCGTCGTCGTCGTCGTCTACGTCCTCGGTGTCCTCGTGGTCGTCATCCTTGTCGTCGTCGTTGTTGTCGTCGTCGTCCCCGTCATCTTCCTCGTCGTCCCTGTCGTCGTCATCGTCGTCGTCGTCGTTGTCGTCGTCATTGTGGCCGTCGTCGTCTTCGTCGTCGTCTTCGTCGTCCTCGACGTTGTCGTCGTCGTCGTTGTCATCGTCGTCGTCGCCGTCCTCCCTGTTCCCGTCTTCACATCGTTTTCGTCGTCGTCCTCGTCGTCGGCGTCGCCGAGGGCCTCGAAGGGCCTCCAGGGAGACCTTCAGGGAGACCTCCTGGTGCCTCCGGAGACCTCCCGAGACATTCAGAGGCGGCCGTCGTCGCCGTTGTCGTCATCGTCGTCCTTCTCCTCGTCGTCGTCCTTGTCATTCCTTGTCCGTCGTCGCCCTCGTTCTCGTCCTCATCTTCGTCGTCGTCCTCATCGTCGTCATCGTCGTCGTTCCCGTCCTCGTCCTCGTTCTCGTCATCACCGTCGTTATCGTCGTCCTCGTCCTCGTCGTTGTTGTCGTCGTCGTCGTCCAGGGCCGGGCCCCCCCCCACCGCGGGGCCCGACCACGTGTTACCGTTGGTTATCCCTCCACCGCCCCACCCCTTAATAGGCGCTACGGGGGATGAATCAAAAGACTCGAGGTCAGAGGACGTCGGAGGCAGGGGAACAGGGGGAGATGGAGAAGGAGGAGAAGCATGAGGACGGAGGAGCAGGGGGAACTCGGCGAGTGGAGCCTAGCAGCATACATGAATGTAGTTCACCTGGCCTGGCCAACTTTATATTTCTCTAGTCAACTTGCTTAGCCTGCCGTATACATGCCTTCGGAATGGTATGGCATCACGCATGTGTTCATTACGCTTCTCATGCTTGCATTCAGTTCGCCCATAGCTTCCGGCTTGTGCCCGGCCCGAGATGACATCGCCCGGCCCCGGGTGCCCGTGGGAAAGTTATGATGACGGTACGACGCCCGCCCTCCAGGGAGCTGGTCGTGACAGTCATGCTCCGGGGGTCTGGGCCCGGCGACGGCGACGATGACGATGACGACGACGGCGACGTCTTCCCGCTCCCTGAAGCGTTGCAGCACTACGAGGGCTTCACAGCAGCACCAATCCACACCCATATGGGGGAGCCGGGGGGCGCACCCTGGAACATGGGTGCCTTTGCTCCCTTGCGGGGGAGGGGTACGATACCTTCACGCCACGACACCGCATGTCCCAAAAATACCCTCGGCGTTCTGCTGTGTGTTGCCGTGGCACAATTTTCTACGGGCGTATTCGAGCCCCTTGGCAAAACGCAAGGATGAGAGTGGGACGGGAAGAAGAGGGGTGACCGAAACCAAGCCAGGTGAGATGGCGCCACATTGACATCTTACCTCACCCTCACATCCCTTCATATTGTGCTGTTTCTCATTCTCCACACGCAGGTGCTAAAGCGGATCTGGAACGCACAAAAGGACCCCATCACGTTACGAGCAATCTGAACAGGGGGGCTGTGCACACTGAATGGGGAGGGTGTGGCGGGTGAGCAGGAGGATCACCAGGAGGAAGAGGACACAGGGGGCAAAGCGCTGGTCCTTCAATGAGGCCGGCGATAATACAGCTTGGGCACCATGTCGGGAGGACTAGGAATTTTCGGATACAGAAGGAAGAAGCACACTCGGACCCAGTGCGTTGCGTAGAGAGAAGCGATGCGCAGAGTGGGGCGCGCCACTCTCAGGACGTCCTTCGGGGGGGTGAAGAGAGAGTACGTAGCGTATCCAGCGTGTGCAGTTGCATAGAAGGCCTGAGGCCAGGCCTGAGGCCAGCTCTGAGGCCTGAGGCCGAGCTAGGTTCACTCGCGTCATTTATGACGTCCCACCCCTCCCTCCCATCCCTTACCATGACGTAGATATCCTCTCTGTTCGCACAGTCGGATGTCGAGCAGGACACTGATCGCGAGAGGGTACGCGATGCGGGGTGAAACACAGGTGCGAGGCCGTGGCACCACATGCGTGCATCACCTGGCCCCCCCCACGCGTGTGTGAGTGGCGCCGAATTTGACCGTGTCCTGGTTTTGCTTTGGAGGTGATTCGAAGGCAGGGAAAGCAACCCCCGCACCTGGAGCTAGCATTTACTAAACGGCCCCAGGCTTTTACTAAACAGCCCCGCCCCGATCGATTCCTCCTCCAGGTCCGTTTACGAAGCGGCTTCGCTTGTTCGGATGTTCATTCTGAGGGTGTTTGCTTGTGCCTTCTATAGTTGGGACTGGAGGTGTGGGGCTGGCGCCGTTCTGTGGGGGCTCCCTACCAGCGCAACGGTTGCCGACCTGAAGGCCAGGCACTTTTGCGACGATATCGCGCGCGGCTGGCGGCCGCGGTGCGTCTTCCTGGGCCGCGCGCTGGGCGACACGGAGTCGGTGCCCAGGGCGGCCGAAAACGTAGGATGGCAAGATTCCTCGCCATGGCCATGGATGTTCATCACGAGCGGCGAAAGTATCCGTATCCGCGCCCTCTCGGCTTGCATCTCAGGGCGCGATGCCACTGATACGCGGTCGTACGGATACGTTCTGCGCCGGGCATCCATGAAAAAAACGCCCCGTATCCGCATGGTCGCGACTCTTGCCGCATTTTTCGTCGTCGTCCAGGTGGCCTCGGTCAGCCTCGGCATGACCTCGTCAGGTATTCGATCATGGACCCCTTGTTGACCGCAGCCGTACAGCTTTCGCGCCGAACACCGCTGGAAACCGCCAGAAACCGCCGAAGATCAGAAGACCGCCAGAAGACCTCCAAACCGCCGAAGACCGCCCGACGAGACCGCCGAAGAACGCTCAAGGCGAATGCGTAACAAGGGGCCCATGGCCCATGGTCGCACACTCAGGCGTCCAGGTGGCATCTGGCAGCCTCGGAATGACCTCGGAGTGGCCTTGGGCAGCCTCGGAGTGGCCTCGGGCAGCCTCGGAATGGCCCTGGGCAGCCTCGGAGTGACCCTGGGCAGCCTCGGAATGGTCGCCGACAGGGCGCGGAGGGCCCGCCCGGGCCAGGGGGCAGAGGAGAGCCTGATGGCTCGCTCGGTTCCTCGTTTTCGTGCCCGTGTTTGATTCGTCCGTGGCCCGCTTTTTCCTTTGTCGGCCCGCCCCGCGGTCCGAATATGAGAGCTGCGGCGGCTGGAAGGATCCTCTTGGCTGTGCGAAAGATGGCCCAGCGCTGCGCACCCCAGAGCTGCGAAAGAAGAAGAAGAAGAAGAAGACAACACATAATATTAGTAATCATAAGAAGAAGAATAATAAGAAATAAGAACACAACGTAGCACTCCGCAGTCGCGGATAAGAGTGGGGTGGGCGGGCGTGTGTCGGGTCGCGGGGGGTCGCAGGGGGGTCGCGGGGTGGGTCGCGGGGGGGGGGTTCGCGCGGGGGGTCGCGGGCGAGGACGAGGACAACAACGCAACAACAATCCGCACCGCGGAACCCCACTTCAGCCACGTGCCCAGGGACAGCCAATGACTGTTCAGCCCCTCACCTCTGATGGTAACAACAGCAGATAGAAGGGCCATGACAACCATGCGCAATAGTGACAAGAGCAATGATAACAATAAGGCCCCTGAGAAGCTCCAGCATCAGAGGCCCTGCCCCTCCATCGGTTACACGCAGTGGTGACCTTTCGCCGGCGTGACCTTTAAGGTGCGGGCCCACCGGGGTCCCCCCCCCAGCACATGGCCTGCGCGCTTGGACTTGGCCTAACCGCTATCGGTCTGTAGTCTCGGGCCCCCCCCCCCTCGTTTCCCCTCGGCGGGGACAACCTCCCCCAGTCCGTCAGCAGAGGGCGTCGGATAGATACTTTGCTTTTTCACTGTTGGGGGGGGTCTCAAGATCTGTAGAGGTCCCGCGGCAGCCCGGATCGCCGCTCGCCACAGGCCACTCGTGTCTGGTGCCACGCCCTGCGCTTGGCATCGCTCGGACGTGTGCATTTTTCCTTCGGCGAGGACCATCGAGGAGCATCCTTGATCATTTGGCGAAAAAAACAGGGAATGGATGTCCGAGCGATGGCCAGTGGGATACACCCCAGGGGGCTATTCGGGCGCACACCTATGGAGGATGGACGCCCCCCTCTAGTATGTCCCAGGGTTGGGTCCCAACTTTTTGGTCCGTTCGAAGGCCCCGCGAGGCCTGGGATAGGGGTCGACACATCCCCTGTCAGCGAGGCGCGCCGGCCTCGGCCACAGCAAGACCTCTCCGGGGCCGGAGAAGAGAAACGACGGCACAGGCACACACGCCGGTCGTTGAGAGTAGATGTATTTATTCCCAGTTCCCGATTTATTTCAAGCGCCTTCCTAAACATCGATGTGTTTCCTTTTGGTGTGTCTTGTTCTTCTCTGGGAGGGCCTAAACCCAATCTGCCTTATCCGCCTTCCAACTTCGTGTTTTGACCCACTGCTTCCTGCCGACGTGTAAACTGTCGAGGGCAAGGGCAGGGAGGAGGCGGAGGGTTAGAGGCAACGAAAGGGGGGGAATAGGCATAGGGGGAATGCATCGACCCCCGATCATCCATTGATCGCCGATATGGGCCCGATGGCCCCAATCTGCCTAGGAGGGTGCGGAGTCACTATCGGAGGCCTTTCGCCGATCTATCGGCGCTGAATCGCCGATTCCAGGTCGATGTGTCCCCCCATATGCCAGTCCCCCCTATCGTTGCCCCTCAGGGGAGGAGGGAAACGAAGGCGCGAGAGGCGAATATTAATACTGACACTAATAATAAGCATAATAATACTAATAAGAAGAATAAGAAAAAACAATCAGACTGAAACGGCACACGCATAAACGTTCGACGGTCCGCACGCACCTCTTGAATCTGCGCTGGGCCCCACCTGGCGGCTCTTCTGGCGCCGCCCCTGGCGCGCTCCGCACGCCAGGGAGAAAAGTCCAGCGCAGGTCCAAGACATCCACGCGGACGGTCGAAAGTGTCGGTTTATGCCACTTTGTCTCACTAAGAGAGGCCTCTTATGGGGCCTGGGGAGGGGCGCCCAAATCCTAGCGCCCCCGCCTTCAGGGCCCACCGCGATCCGATCGATTAGATTCGATGGCGATTTCGGCCGGCCCGATCTGATTCGATTTCAGCAGTCCGACGATCCGATGCTGCCCGAAGCTTGCGTGGCTCAGTTGTGTATCCTGGCGCGGCCGATCCGATCCGATTCCGACTTCGTGCTGAGGCGGCCCGATCCGACGCACATACTCGCGTCCCCCGCCCTCGCGTCCCCGAGCGCCGCCAGAGAAGGCTTCGGATTGCGCACAGGGCACTCCGAGGCAGCCCCAGCTGCTGGCCTCCACAGGCCCCCCGGGTAGCCCCAGCTGGTCTCCGAATGCCCCCTGAGTAGGCTTCAACAGGCCCCCTCAGGTAGTCACAGCTGGCCTCAGCATGCCCCCCCAGGTAGTCCATTTTGGCCTCAATAGACCCCCCGAGGAGTGCCAGCTGGGACCACTCGGGGGGGCGGGGCTGTCGGTGCGCAACGCGAAGCCTTACCAGCGCCGCCAACGTCGAGCATGTGCTCAAGGGGCTGGCGCCCTCCCGCCGGCCCGTTCGAACAGGTCGGCGGGGCGGAGGTGAGCTGGGCTGCGCGGCCTGCCCAGGCAGAACGCGCAGCACGATGGCGAGGAGCGGCGTGATGCCCCTCAGAGAGGTAATGACATTGTCGTTCTTGGAAGCGTTGGGGGCGTTTTTCGGTGACTACAGCGGATGCGGTTACGCTAGGGTCCTGGTTTGCGATCGTCGCCGTTGGGGCTCATCTGAGGACCACCACGTCGCACTGGAGGTTCGACGAGCCGTCGTCGGGGCGCGGCGGAGATCTCTACCCTCTACCATGGTCCTCGCCCGCCCCCCCCCCCCCCCACACCTGTGCGGGGGGTTGCAAACCACACCCTCTGCCAACCATATTATTCGGAGTCGCCGAACTTTCTCTCCCGTCTTCCACTTGCCGTTCCAGATTAGACCCACAAGTTTCCCAAAAATCGGCACCCCGGAAAGTGGGCGCCTGGCAGGCGGCATGGTGCTATCAATACAGGCGTGACAGACGCAATGGGCCCGGAAAGAAAACGGACGGGTGGTCAATTGGCCTATCCTGGATTTGAAGATGTAGCAAACGTTGCGCCCAATACGGGTGAAGCGCATCGATTGTGAAAACGAGGCCCTCAGCGTTTTCCAGAAGGTCTGAGGAGAAGGACAGCGAGGCAAGGGGATGTTCGGATGCAACTCCTGGGAGGTCAAGTTCTGATTTAGCCCTGGTCCGAAATCTGGCTTAATCCCGTTTAATCCCGCTAAATCCCGCTTTATCTGGCTTGATCCCGCTTAACCGTGGCCCACTCCGCCGTAACAGCCACCCAACGGGGCTTAATCCTTCTTGATCCTTCCGACGAAGACCTCCCAGTAGTTGCCTTCGAAGGGATGGGACAGAGCGGGCATCGAACGTGGACTCCTGCCAGAGGTACCAGCAGGAAGGCACGCCCAGCGGGGCACACCAGTGCTCTTTCCTGCCAGAACCGATGGTGTAACCGAGTGCGGGCGATAATAAATCATACCCCCTCCCTTAACCACTTCTATTTTTATTATCCCCGTTCAACAGGATTTAATTGTGGAGATGAGCGCGGAGGCCGAACTTTACAATCCACGGGGGAGGTTGCGAATCGAAGTTGCTATCATCTCATGATGGAGCTGATGCTCGACGATCTCCCAGGAACAGGCACGGCGTACAGACCCTCTCTCGGGCACAGGGCATCCGGGGATGGGAGAGGAGCAAGAAATGTTGCGAGGAGTGCGAGGAGGAGAAAGGGGATTGGAGACGAGGATCGGGAGAAGGAGTAGGACCAGAGTTACCCCAGGATGTATCAACGACGATGGTGCAATACACCCTCCATCCCAAGCCCTCTCCTCATAGATAACTGCAAGCGCTCCTCTGTCTCAACAGAATTCGCATCTTTAAAGGTGCGAGAACCCCGAGTCAAACAAGGATCTGTACGGCACCCTTTCAGTTATAAGGACTGCAAGGAGTGTCCAGCGAGAGCTCCGTTCTGCAAGGATTTTCCCTCTATCCGTTAAATCTGAATTGAGGGCGTCCCCAGCGAAAGCCCCATTCTGAAGTGGTACCGGTTTCATCTATCTCACATTTGCAGAACTGTTACACCTCCGCTCATAATAGGTTGAAGAGAAGTACAGAGCGATATACAAACGAAAGTACAATTATACATCTATAGATATGTGAAGATAAACATGTGCGTTTCTGATGCGAGAACCACATACTGAAAACCACCCGCCCTTGCCCCGATAGCTGCGGGGAACTTTCACGA